AAATTAACTGGTCATGGACCAACGGATCACCGTTAACACCGGGCCCAGCTTTCATCTATTAAGGGAAAGGGCATTTTTCCAATCAAATTTTATTAGGATGGTAAAGAAACTATCTGCGAATTACTATCTGGGATTAACTGCAATATCGGTAACATCTAGGTGACTCGTGGGGGTCCTTCCCAGCAAACAAAAGACGTTGTACCAACGTTGTACTGACGTTAGACCCTGACGTTGGGTAAACGTTGGCAGAAGGTTGGATTTGAAAGTTTTTTAGACGTCAGAAACCGACGTCTTAACAACGTCATAAAATGACCTTTATCCAACCTTTTCTGACCATAATCCAACCTTTTCTGACTATTATCTGACCATAATCCAACCTTTTCTGACCATTATTTGGACATAATCCAACCTTTTCTGACCATAATCCAACCTTTTCTGACCATTATCTGACCATATGCCAACCTTATCTGACCAAATTTTCTGACCATGATTTAACCTCATTCAAAACTTTTGGAATATGATTTTTTTTTTCATTTTGAAGCTCTTAAATAGGGTTAATAAATAAGCATTCTTATGAATTTAGCAATTTATTTTATACTCGGAATCACAAGTACAAAACAAGAAATGTGGTACTATAACAAATGCAAGATTTACATGATATTTTTTGAAACTATTAAACTTGACGGTATGTACTTTAATAACGCTTCATGTATTAATTAAGCATGTTTTAGAAATAAGATAAACAAAATCCTTCTTGAATATTAACACTGACATTTCATATAGCAAACATCCATGCATGTGTTTTTTCTTATATCACCACTGAACTGATCACTCTGAGTTTGGGATTTTTCAATCATCTATCCAACTCACTGATTGTATATTTGTCTTTGTATTTTATAACTGAATCTAGATCTGAATGTTAAATGGAACAAAATTCTGAATATTTTGTTATAACTAAAGATAGCAATGTTCATGTATCTTCATTAGTATTCTAGCTTCTTTCGTCCTCCTACACTATATATATGTCGATCTGGGGCATACTATAAGCGTATCATTACCGTCTCCAACCTGAGTTCTCATCACACTTTCTGAAATTAAAAAAAAATAAAATAATCAGTTACAAGTGCAAGAAATAAATCATTTATACATATTATAATTAAACGAAATTCTAACAAAACTCTCCAACTACTTAAAAAGATACTTATTATTTTTAATTTAGTTTAAACCATGTAGTTTCGTGTACCTACTGTATATATCTATTAATTTTGATAAAAATGGCTTCGTGAATTTCATTATAAAATCAAGGGTAATAAGATTACTGTATTTTCTATAATATTTTGAAATATACCTGTCACAAAATCTTGGTAGGTTTTCATTTTTCTTTTCCTCTAAATATTTTCATCTTCCTCCTAGCTGAACTTTTGACACATGTTGAATTATCATAATTTTCACAATCTGAAAGACGAAATATAATCGTTTTAGAATTTAACCATGTGGTGGAAGGATGTTTGTCTAATACAATAGGCAAAATCCAATTACTATTAATCTTAGTTAACTCATAAGCATGAAAAACTGATATAACAAATACCAAAATGAAATTAATTCTACTCCCGCAAAAATTGATATTGTTATTTTTTTATATTCAATGTACTTTGTACAAATGCTCATACAACATCAAAGAAATTCACATGTTACTGTCATTTTTATAGATATCATCTCTGCCCAGCATGATCTGGTCTGCTAAGTGTATATAGGACAGACTGGCTTAGTGTAAAAACGTTTTATGATACGAGCATACAACTTGTTGATAAGCAGGCTAATTAACAAACTATTACTTTTATTGATTTATAACTATGATAATGTGTTTTCTGATTGATAATATGTTGTTTGATTACATTAATAAAAAGATAGCCAGTCAAATACAATGTGCTTTCAGATATATCTTACCAAAGTCGTATCATTTACATGTATCAAATGCCATGAATCATTTTCATAATATAAGAAACACATGGAATGCTAACAGTATGGGTAAAGTACTTCAATTAACAACGAGTAGTTTAACAACTACACAGATATCAAATCAAACTGCTCTGATACATGTGTAAATGACTGGCCCCTCATATAAGGGAAGTTCATGTTGATAAGAAATAAGAGGAAATTTTATTTACCGGCATTTAAAAATAAGAGTATTACGTACTGCATTTAACTTTTTATTGATTTCAATTGCTAAGATATTTCCAACCATTGATTGTGCATTTATTTGGCATGGCGATATAGTGTGGGAAAAATGATCCGATTATACAGACTGTTCTATAGCAAATGATAAAGTGTTCTTACGTGGAAACAAAAATATTTATCTCGCGAAATCACGTTACATTAAGTTTTACCAGTCAAACATTTCAATGATCAAATAACCATCGAATCAAATCAAACATGCGGTAAATAAGCACTGAAAAACAATATATAATGTTTGCCTACCTTTTTCTTTTGTTTGGAATATACAACTTTGTCTGTCAACCTGTCGTTTTTTTGTCCGCCAATACAACTGAATTTCAAATCCGATAAGTCGCAAATTCGAATTTACTAAATTATTTACCACTATAAAATGAAGCCCTCAAAAATGATAACAGCTTCATTGTAAATTATATAAACACTTCTTAGACTAATTCGAGGAGATAAGATATTATTTAAAAGAAAATAGAGCAAATATATTTCATACTGATCTGCGACTATCCGTTTACAGAGCGCCACCTATCGAATATCGTACGTTAGCCACCCACGTGATACTGTTGTTTTGATGGAGAAAATAAATATATAATGTTCCCTTTCTAAACTTAAACTTAAAATTCTCGCTGTTTATGCTTTCATTTATATATATATTGGTTTCATAAATTAAATTCACCTATTGTCAGATTACCGACCAAAACCCGACGTCGAGCCGACGTCAAAATGAAACGTCTGTTAGACGTCGGGGATTCAACGTCGATTTGACGTTGTATGAAGGTCACCGACGTCGCGACCAAAATTCAACGTTGATCCAACGTTGGGTCAACGTCGGGTGTTTGCTGGGTTATCTCACTTTAGGCAGTTCAATTTGGTTATAATTACACACCCGCTTTTATTCATATCCATCAAAGTAATATTCTTGCAGCTTAAAAATGATCATTTAGCGTAGAGTCCTATTAAAAGCCCCCGAAATATACATGCACACAAAAGCCCGAGTAATTTGATGATAATTATTAAGAAATTGAAAATTAATAGAATGACACTGTCGTGTTTGTGTGTATACATACTATAACAAATGATTATGTTAGCTTTACGTTATCCGCTCTTGAAAACACCTTATTAATGAATTGATGAGAGAGTTGTGTTTATACATGTATATCACAAGTATATTTTATTAAGCTGCGGTCTCACTTACTCCCGGCAGAGCCCAGGACCGCCCGGGTAAGTTACTAGGATCATGCGGGACGATCCGTTGTGAAATTATTGTTGTGATCACACTTACCACAGCAGCACTACGGTAGTTTCCAACTAACCACCCAGGATGCGCTCCGGACCATCCAGGCAGAACCCAGATGAAGCTACGTTTCATGCCGGTGCTTCCCCGATCGTTCCCGGGTGACGCCGGCAGAGCCCTGGTTGACCCAGGCAGATCCCCGGTTGACACAGGCAGAGCCCGGGTCGATCTAGGCAGAGCCCGGTCAGAGCCCAGGAAGATCCCGGCAGAGCCCTGGTAGATTACCCCGGTGGATTGAAAACGCGCGAAAATGACTACGATACATAATTTTCATTCAATATAATATCTATTGTTCCAGATGATTTTCTGAATAATCCTTTTGCAAGACTGGACAGAAGGGAACAAAGAAGTGCAATCATCGCAAATTGTCGCGATTCTTTTGAAATGAACCGGGCTTTGCCGGGGCTCTACCGGGATTAACCGTAGCTCCATCGTCATCCTCCACGGCATCATCAACACTAAATGATCCTGAAGTACCAGGAAAATGTAACAATGTTGAGGTGAAGTATGGCGCAATATTTTACAGCTAATTATATAAAGAATGAATACCTGCTGTTGTGCGTATTAAAAAATCAAGAAAAACTAGCTGTGAAGACACTTCGATCTCGAACAATGGAAACGAAAAACCAATTAGTTGAAAATCGCAGATATAGATTAATTGAGTCTGTTTAAGAGACAATATATTATATTAAATGCAACACTTATACCATTCTTAGAATTCTAAATTCTATCTTTTTTCTACAATGTTAACACGGAAAAGTCATGGTTTAAGTTAGAAAATATGCTGATTTTTTAAGAAAAACGAAATACATGTTTGTTGTAATTAAGAACTGTTCTCAAAATTAACGGTCTAGAATAAGGCTTAGGTTATATTTTCCATAGAATAAAAGACCTTCTCCAGCCTGATTAAAACCAGCTCATAAAAAAACGCCATGATTCACCCTACGTGGCTTCATAAACAAAGTCTGAGACTTCATCTAAAAAAAGTTACAGTTTAAAGACAAATGATTTTGACCACAATTTATTCATTAATTGAGGTAAATCTGTTTAATATGTACTTATCCTAAACGCTAAAATATTTAATTTCTATTACATACATTAAAATTCCATGTTATCTTCTTTGAATAAAATTTTATAAATTGAATAAAATTTTATAAATACAGCCACATTTAGAGGCACATTTAGACGATAACGACACGATAGAACTATTCGAATATATTTATTGAACATGTCACATGATCAGGCACGCGTCAACGCTACTTCCGCCCTGTGAGAAACGGTAAAACAGCGACAAAGGGAAGGAGTTTCACAGTTATTTTTACATTGTAAACGTTTATATAAACTTAAAACATAGTTCTTACTTTGTATAATCATGTAACAGTTTATATGTAGATTTTTCTGAAGATAACTCTTCCATTTTATGAAGAAAACGAATAAATATGGATCAGCAGCCATTTTGACGTCCTTCGAAGTTCGAAACGTAGGCAAATATACTGATATTGCAGGAAAACACTAAATACAGTCATGGCAGTTGTGCACTACAAGTTCAAAAATAGTGTGGAGTATGACTCTCTGACGTTTGATGGCCTGTCAATTTCCCTGAAAGATTTAAAACTTGGCATTATGAAAAAGAAGAAAATGAGAGCAGAGGACAACGACCTGCAGGTGGTTAATGCTCAGACTGGAGAAGGTAACAATATGGTTTTCTTATTAATAATATATATATATTGATGCAGCAAACTAATGTCCTATCTGATAAGCATTGGAGATCTGTTATTTTTAGACTTGGTGGGTCTGAATGAAATCCTTACTCTAGCATATGTTGGGCTGTTCATTCACATATGGCAACATATCAGCTTCACTGGTGGAGGAAGACCTCGGGGTGCACCTTTATACAATATTTCAGGCACAAACTGGAACATGAGAACCACCAACAAGCTGATATTTTTTGCAGTAATTTTGATTGAGATTTCATGTTCGAACTTCTGTGTTTTTAAAAAATTAATGAGTTTAAAATCTGTGTATGGATGTTTTACAAGACTTGTATAAAACCCTGACATATTAATGACTTACAATGATTTTAAATTGCCACATGAAAGGATAGTTAATCAATGGTTGTTTTGTAGCATTTAAAATGTTACCAATATTCTCATATTTAATTCTCTTGATTCTTTTTCAGTGTACAGTTCACCTAGTTTGATGATTCCAAAGAACACTTCACTTGTCTTAGCTAGAATTCCAGTTGGTGGAACAAAGAAAACCAAGGATGATTCTGCTCAAGCTAAAGCACAGAAATGGTATTGTTCAAATTTAATTACTATGTGGTGGGTTTAAATCAAACCAAAGACTTCGAATTCTTTCACGTGGGAAAGCTATTCAGCAGAATCAGCTACTAAAGATTCGTTGTTCTACTCTGGTGCCAGATTCTGTTTTGCAAATAGATGCATGGATGTTCACCCAAAATTTTCACCATTCAGCTGAGAAATGCGCCCTTTGACCTTAGCAGCATTTATTTGATTGTCTGTAAATCTGACGCCAACAAATTAAGATCCAAGTTCATCAGAATATTTGGATTTTCTAATAGTGCAAACAGAAGGAAAGGATACTTTTGTATTTGATTCATATAAATAGAATATTTTTATACAGCAAAGTAAATTATATGTTTAGAAAAAAGAAAAGGTTGCTTTAATGAAACAAATGTATACACAATCTGACAGTAATAAGAATGTTTGATACCAAGTAAATAATTATAACTGTTAATGTGTTATCAAGTCTGAAAAACTATATATTTGATATTATCACTTGTGTAAAGATTATTAAGATATAATCCATACAATTTAGTAATTTACCATGTTGAATTGATTAACCAGTATCATGAATGTTTTGTATTTCAGGGCAGCATTCAGGAAAGAAACACAGGCAGCTGTATGTACTTTCAAAGTTTCTTCTTTTATAAATACATGTTTTAAGTGCTTTAATAATAAAAGAAATACAGATAGAAATTTATTCTCAAACATCTTTTTATAAATTAAATTGGGTAATGTGATATTTATTATAATTTTCTTTTGAGTATATTGACATAGTTTACTTTGAACATAGTTTACTCATAACTGTACATGTGTAAAGTTGTGAAATTTTGTATGATTATTATACATTGTAGGGGTTTGTATTAAGAAATTGTTTGTTTGTATATCATGCAAAATGTATATATTTATGAAAAAGTTTCTGCCGCCTGATATGGTAATTTTTATTTATTATTTTATTTTGCACTTGCATTGTCAACATATTGTAGCATATGTTAGGTAAGTTTTATTGCAGCTTCATGTGGATGGATGCTGAGCTGTTAAATATGTTAAAAAAACCAAAAGACATTTAATGAATTCAGAAAAAGAACACAAATAGAACTGTTCAATATTAAACAATATAGACTGAAATATAACAACAATAAAGTGAAAAGGTGAAATGGATAGTGCTTTACAGTAATAAGAAGAGATCAGGAAAAACTGTGTAAAGTGATATTGAATAAGTGGCAAACTTGGATTTGTATTAGACATTGACTTTATGATGATCTATGTACTTGGTTGGGATATTTATTTATGTCATCCCTTTTTGTCATTGAGACTCTTTTGATTGTCATATTATGCTTATAACAAAGTGTATTGGTTTATATGATACGGTATGATGATTAAAGTATAATTTGAGAATCAGGGTATGTGCTAGTGCAGCATGTAATACTTGTTAGAAGTATCGTAAAGTTGTCTGTTACTCAGAAATAACATTTTTTAAATGAATTGTTTGTTTTAACTTTTATTCATCATCATCTCTGTGCAGTAAAGGGTTTACTCGTATTAACTTCAATAGGAGTAAACATGTTACTGAACTACGATGAAAAATTGTGCAGTTAGCTTGTTCAGTATACATCACCAATGAATCTGATGTAATTTACTAGTGTCATTTAAGCATTCAAGTTCAAGACAATGTACATTTGATTTCATGTGGTATATGACATTAGTTGTCTTTTCATTGAAATATTTATGAAACTTGTTAAGGAAACTTTTAATTTTCTATAAGTAAAATTACTAGCAGGCTTAATTACAGTTTTTCTTAATTGGCTTTATAAATGTTTTTTTTTAATGAATGTATTATTCAGTGTTGAACAAGATACAACATCATTGACTTTTTTTGAGGGGATAAAAAATCTTCACAAGTTGGTTCACCAAGATTTTATCTGATATACTTAATATTTTTGTTCAGTAACATATGATGTAATTTTTTCATTTTGTTGTCTTGGCCTTAGGTTGGTGAATTAAGACTTTATTAAAGTTGCGATGTAATTACTGTTTACTATAAACCATTCATGACTTCACTGCCTATATTGAAATTGAATTTGAAACAAATGGTGAAAAGTTTGTTAATATTATTATTAGCTTAAACATTTTGATAATTTTGATATAACTATGTGAACATTGTTAATTTTATACATGTTTTTGTCTTAGAACTATGTGGTTAGTCATATTATGCAATGTAAAATGTTTTATCGACAATTTATTTGCTTAATTTAGCATGTCAGGGCTTGAATTTTATTATTTTTACAACTTAAAAATTTATGCAAGCACATTTGTAGCATGCAATGTATTTTATACATGTATAAAAAGTATATCGCTGTTTAAATATACCCTTGATAAATATAAGTATGAACACAATTTAACAAATACAACTCAAAACTTATAACAATTTGTTTGTTAACATAAAACAGCTTTTGGCCATTTTCAATTTCCTCTGGCATTTTGCAGGTTGGTGTAGGTTAAATTTCAGTCCTGAGTGTTATATTTTAGTAAAATTGTTAATCATAATGTATTATTTAAATGTACACTGCAATAGTATTGTTTTCACTTTGTGTGTAAATGATTAAGCTTGGTTACTGTGATCTATAGAAGATTTTGATAAACTTTAGTTAAGTTTATTTATAATTTATAATACATGGAGCTTTTCTCATTATGAATGTGTAAATGAATTTGTTAATTTCAAATTTTGTTGTTACAATGTATGTGTTTTAATTGTTCTGGGCATTATATGATGTTACCTGTGTTTATATATTGATAAACTTACTGGGAAACATTGAATCCATTATTCCATAAGAATAGGTAGAGCTATTGTAGTCGCCCGAGCGTCGGTGTCGTCGTAACCACTTATGTTAAAGTTTTTGTAATACCTCAAATATTTTCAAAGTCCATTGACATATGGCTTTGAAACTTTGCACACTTGTGCACCATCGTGACCCCAACCTGTAGACAGGAGGAGGTAACTGTATCAAGCATTTTGACAGAATTATAACCCCTTTTTCGACTACGAATTTTGTTAAAAGTTTCTGTAATACCTCAAATATTTTATAAGTCCATTGACATATGGCTTTTAAACTTTGCACACTTATTCATTATCATGATCCCAACCTGTAGACAGGAGGAGGTAACTCTGTGAAGCATTTGGCAGAATAATTTACATTTAAGTTTGCATACCACCTCAGATATTTTCATATTCTATTGACACCTGGCTTTAAAACAAGTTGAAATTTGATACTCTACTTTGAGAGCATAATTGGACTCTCTCCAAGGCCTTTAACTGTAACATGGATTTAAAGAAAAAATTTGCCCTTTTGTTAACTTTAGATTTTACACTATCAAGACTCTTATACTATCAAGCAATAAGAATAGTCGAGCGTTGCTGTCCTACCGACTATGGCTCCCACTGTTTACAACTTTTTGTAAATGTTTACACGATTGTTAAGAACCGAAACAATGCCGTTTAAACGGTGGTACTTCTATGTACTATACTACACCATGTATTCGAGTCGCCAATTGCTGACTTACTTTCTACTTTTAATACATATACAAATAAATAATGTTCAAGGCTCATCACGATTGAGTCAGCACATATTTTCTGCATTGTATCGCAATTTCGCTCATTTGATAGATAAAAGGAAAATCAACTTTACGAAAATGTATTGTGTCACAAGCGATAATTGCACGGTAATGCTGTGTGAAGTGTTAAACGGTAAAAATATTGTAAACGTTTATGAATGAAAATCGAAATGAATCCGTTTAAAAGTGTAACCGTGGGGGTCTTACTACTGACAGCTCTTGTTTAAAGCTTCTTTCACTTTGAGAACAAAGCAAGATTTTTGATTACATAATTTGGGTTAAAGAAGCAACCTTCAGTTTGTATTTCAATACTGAATAACAAACATAGTAAATCTTGTCCATTCAGTTTCATAGCTTATTGTCATGCTGGTGAATAAATTCACATGATGATAAAGCTATGCAGAGAAGGTCACTGGTTCTACACAGAAGAATGCCTGAAACCTTACCATCTTGTATTTTGAGATGCCTGTGTGACTTTACAACAATAGAATATATGTATCTAGACTAATGTTTTGTTCATACTTGTAAAAATGTGTGTATAAACTTTTCTTGATTGATTACATGCAATGAACTGGGTAAAATTTTTGTTCAAGATGTTATACATTTAAAAAAACTGTGTTCATGTTAATTAATAGATGTAAGTATCATAATTTTTTATCCATGTTTAATGTTGAACTCACACTAATGACATAAAATGTAAGGTTGCAATATTCATAGTTATCCGCTTTATAAGCAGGATGAAGTAATTCAGTTTTCTGAAGGAGAGGCAAGACCTTTGAGAACGATCTTTAGTGTAAATCAGTAAAGCAGGCAATTCCTTTTCCAATCTTCTATTTTTAGAATAAATGTCTGTGCGTGCTATGAGTAAGTCACGGGGGCACTTTCTTGAAAAAGGTTTACCAGTGCTATGATGCACTTTTCCTACGTAATATTACTGAAATACTTAGTTTGAAACAGCACAGAATTGTTGTTCCAACAAAAAAAAACAACTGAAGGCCACTTTAAACACACAGTGTGAGAATAACTCCGTAATTTACCACTAAAACAATAATTGTGACCGACTTTTGATAATTAATAAGCATATACCGTTATTAATTTCACATAGGACTAAGTTAAACAATTTACTCTCCCAAAATACTGTGTTAAAATTATGGAATGACTGTATATGGTTTAGATTGTGATATTGCAACCTTGCATTTTGAAGTATAGTGATTGTTTTCACATATTGTTGTTTTTTAGTCATCATAATAAGTGTAACCATTGTCATACCTATGTCTTTCAGAAATTTTTATATGTGATATTTTGTAATGTTTGTTATTATGATTATTTTGTTATACAGTATTTGTTACTTTTACTATTGTTAACCATTATAAAATATACTTTATTGTATATGTCTTGTTATGCCATCATAGATGGGAAATAAAAAGTACTGAAGCATGGAGGCTTATTTCTATATGCCAGAAATGTTTTCAGACTAGTCGCAAAAGACCTTCGTAGAGAAAAACACATGAAATTTGGATGTGCGAAAATTATGAAAAATGAATGAAAGAAAATAGTGTGAAAGAAAAAAATGCCCTGTATACAAATGCTTACAAAATAAGTATAAGGATTGAAAGGGAACATGACTGTGGTAATTTCTGAACGTACAACATAATAAATCTAAATGGGGACTGGGAGACTAAAGGCTGTTTAATTGTTGATTAGAATACGTGTGAGGGAGGGTATGACTTGAAGTTAATATTTTTTTTATATAAACTTGTACAGGAAAACACATTTAGATCTTATCGTGTTAAACTACAAAGCCCAAAGCTTAGATATATTTGGCATGTAGCATCAATTTATATTTATCATGACCCTCAGATCAAAATTAGCCCTGCCACAGGGAGTCACTTGCCTAATGTAGACAACACATGTTATCTTTTTGTGGATAAACACTTGGCATGTAGCATTGCCTAGTAGACCCTTATGGATGCCTCCACCTCATAGGTCATATAGTATCATAAGTATATGTAACACAAGTTTTTTGATTGGGTTTTAGCCTATCTGAAAAATTATTTTTGTCCCCTGCCTTTTCAAAGAAAAAAGGGGGATATAGAAATAGGCTCCGTCTGTCCGTCCATCTTTCTGTCCGTCCGTAACACTTAACCACTGATCCATAACTTTGTTATTTCTCAAACGAATTTCAAATAACTGTTTAATAATAAATAAATGTTTGTTATAATAAGACGATAAGTCATGCGCAACAACCAGACCCTTACCTCCAGGGTCAAGGTCGCACTTGCTCTTTCAAGGTCAACATTGTCTATTTGAGGGTATATGTCGTGTCCGGTGTATAACTTTCTTAATATTGAAGGGATTTTGTAAATACTTTCCACAATTGTTCACAATAATGAGACGATGTGTCGTGCGCAACAACTGGTCACCTACCTCCAAGGTCAAGGTCACACTTGGAGGTCAAAGATTAACAAAGTCTGCTATAGGGTAAATTTTGTGTCCAGTCCATAACTTTTTCATAGATCAAAGGATTTTAAAAATACTTGGCACAAATAGTCACAAATAGTCACTATACAATGTAATAAGATGATGTGTCATGCGCAACACCTGCATCCCTACCTCCAAGGTCAAAGTCACACTTATAGGTCAAAAATTAACAAAATCTGTTATAGGGTGTATTTCTTCATAGTTCATTGGATTTTGAAATAACTTGGCACAAATAGTCACAATGGTAAGACAATATGTCAGGTACAACACCAGCTCCAAGGTCAGGTCACACTTAGAGGTCAAAGGTTAACAGAGTCTGTTATATAGTATATTTTGCTCACATCCATAACTTCTTCATAGATCAAGGGATTTTGAAATACTTGGCACAAATAATTACAATGACAAGATGATACATGTATGTCATGTGCAACACCTGTGTCCCTACCTCCAAGGTCAAGGTCACACTTAGAGGTCAAAGATTTGGTCTGTTATAGTGTATATTTTGTGTCCAGTCCATAACTTTTTGTAGATCGAGGGATTTTAAAAATACTTTGCACAAATAATCACAATAATAAAACGATATGTCAGGAGCAAAACATGGGTCTCTACCTCCAAAGTCACACTTAGAGGTCAAAGATTAACATAATCTGTTATAGGGTGTATTTTGTGTCCGATCTATGACTTCTTCTTAGTTCAAGGGATTTTGAAAATACTTGGCACAAATAGTTACAATATTAAGACGATATGTCATGCACAACACCTTCACCCCTACCTCCAAGGTCAAGGTCACGCTAAGAGGTCAAAGCTTAACATGATAGATTTTTAAATTCTGTGTTTCATTTAATTTCTTTAATAAATTTATTGTTGCATTTGCAGATCTAGCATTGATCATAATTTTGGACTGAAAGTCCTGAGATCCATACCTCAATCTTTTGAAATATCACAATTTTATGCTTCATATAAAACTTCCCTGAGGCGGGGGACGTTGGTAACTCTGGTACAAAGTCTTCTTAAGTATGCATTTGGGCATATATTCCCAGGGCCCTGGGCTTTTGTAAAAATTAGGACTGAAAATAACCAGAACAAGTTACTTTATTGAAATAAAGTTATAAGGGTCATGTGATGTTGGTAGACTAAGATCTGCGGTTCGTTACTAAAGTTATTCTGTGAAGACAAAGCTGTGTCAAGTTTGTGAGTGATGATGAATGCAACTTGAATGAATGAATGAATGAGTGCTGTGGTTTGGGCTCCCTTTACCTTGGCTTTGGGGGAACAACAATTAGAGAGGGAGTTATAATTACGAGTACATGTCATTAAAATTAATACAATAGGACCTTACTGAGGGACACTCCATTTTTCTGTCCGAAGCCACGTTTTTATTTATTTATGCACATTTATTGTGGTCTTCATAATCATCACATCAGGTGAGCCGTTCAGGACCATCATCTTTGTGTTTGTCAGCATATTACTCGTCATAAAGTTTACATGAAAGTCATTTGAAAGATTCATAGATCATTTTCTATTAACATGACTGTGCATTGAATTGAAATAAAACTTAACTTCGCTAAAAAAAACAGTTTGCTTATTGTGCTCCTGTTCATTGATCATTGACAGAATTAAGGTATTGGAAGTTCTTTCATCATGATACTCATAAAAAATTTAAAATAACACGTTATTAGTATAAATGACTATATCTTTATGAATAAAAGAGAAGAAAGGTCTTATTATCTGAGATATTGTGGGGGAAAAAAAGTGGGAGTCCATAAAAAGTTCTCCCTTCTGGACAAATTGAATTGCTCCGATACTGGTTTCATAGATATAAGTAAGGGGATACCCCATAGTATAAACAGTACCGTATACCCCAGTTAAAATTTCCCTTATAAATACCCCCACCCCCAATTAGCTTTTTCTATTTCTACATTATCAGTTCTAACATTAAATATTCTGCCATAAACACTTCAGATATTCGTAAAAAATTCCATAGCAGTTTTGAAAAATCTTTAATAGCAGTTTTAATAAAAATCAATAGCAGGGAACAGTTATCAAACCCAATGTCATTTTGAATAAAGTAATGCCAGTCCATGTTCTGTAACTCACATGTTCTCTTTTTATGCGACTAATTGGTTAACATGTGTTGATCCATTACATATTTGACAGTACTAACTATATGGTATGCAGTATGTTGCAGAGATACATGAGTAAATGAAATGAATGACCATGCAATGGACTTTACAGAGGCAGAGTTTTACCGAGTGTTTGAAAAGGAGCGCTAAAATATTCTAAATCTTTACTAATGGCATCCCCCCTAGGGTATTTAAATGGGGTATATGGTACATTTGGCTGCTTAAATTTTATTTACTATAAAAAAATAACACAAGTTGAATTCATGTACAAATAAATACAGTTTAGTTGTGATCGAAAAGGTAAAATAATTGATTGGCTGTGAATTATTTTAAGCAAAGTTTTAAAGGGATTGATGCTATAATTGTGTCATAAAAGATTGCTGAATTACAACCAAACTGATGGAGAGAAAGAAAGTTACGAAATGACTAGCTTATGAAGGGTTATATGCCAATGATCTGTTTTCATCCTGTGTACAAACTGACGTCTACGAAGAAATATTTTTACTAGAGGATTCCTCCTATTGACAGATGAAGAATGAAGTCCTTAATTGGCAGTATTTAACAGCTACATCTGAAATGCCGCAATTGTTACGATTTAAAGATACAAATTTGTATCTCAAAATTTATACTTAGTTAGTCCACGAGTTCCTGTATTTTATTATTGAATGACACTTTTCTGTAGTATAATGGCATATTTTTGTTTGTAAGAAAATAGCAAAATCATAAAATGAATAAATAATAGACCAGTTTGTCAAAAATTTGACCATTGTCAAAAATTTTAAGATGGGGGCAAGTTTCGAAGGTATGAAAAGGAGCAGGATATACTCGTGGACTAACAACGTGTTGTATTATTTCCATTGTTGTAATTTTCATTTGGCTTACAGATAAGTGCAGCTGAAACTGGAGGATTTAACACGGAGAAAATTAAACAGGTAACTATACTAAGAGGTGAAAACATTACCTTTGTTTGGTTCTGGATGCAAACTTTTATTTTAGTGTTGCTTTTTATCAATGCAATTTTCAAAATCTCACTTGGGGAAAATATTGGAAGTGTTTCCAGAACCATTCATTGGTAAGAAAATGTGGGAAAATAAGTTATTTGCTTAATTATGAATGCATGATTATTTTAATTTACATTTAACATGCATTTTAATTTTGCTAGAATTGATTTAAAGGTGATTAAATTTGCTTTTGCTACTTTATTCAACTATTTTGGACGATGGAAGTGTGTTTTCTTTTGTTTTGCATGAAGCTTAAGAGGAATTCACTACGTTTATTAGAATTTTAAATTTGCTTAATCACCCTCTGCAAAAAATGGGAGCATTCCTTTACAAGTTCTGAAAACTTTGCTTGTGTTTGGAACTGTTATGAATGGCAACCTTTAACAAATTACTGATTGCTGAGAAGCTCCACTGTCATGAAGTATCAGAATAAAGAAATAAAGAGAAAATTTCAGAAAGAAAGCTTCTTTTCATTTTTGCTGGTATTTGCTCCAGAAAATTTTGAAGGTTGTGTATTTGACATTATTCTGTACAATATTCAATGTTATTTTAGTCCTCAGATCTTGTAAATGCCCAGTCATCAGAGATTGAGAAAATAGCAGAGATGATGAAACAGTCAACAAAAGATTTTGATCCCTCAAAGTAAGTAATCCATTAATGGAAATATACATACCTATGCAAGCAGTGATAATAGTGCAGCAGTGAAATTTTCCAGTTTTCAAACTTTTGCGTCTGAAGTATAATTGAACGATACTTGTAAAGTAAATGTGTGTAAGGAATTTTTTGTTATCACAGTTTAGGTATTTAGAATTAAATTAAGATCAAATTTAAACATCATAAAAATATATGTACATGACTATTCAGTATATGCACATTTACAGAGGAGATTGAAAAATTTGTTTTATTTTGAATTTCAGTTACACATACAAGTTTCCGACAGGTGTACCAAATTCTTCATACATTTGTCGCAAGTGTGGTAAAGGTGGTCATTACATACAGAATTGTACAAATGAACCAGTAAGTTCATATTATGACTAACTTTGCATTGCTTAATTGCTGTTATTAATGGACTTGCCCTGTTTTAATTCTTGGAAGAGTTTATTATCCCCCGCCGAAAATTTTTCGGAGGAGGATATAGAAATAGTCTCCGTCCGACCTTCCGTCCGTCCGTCCTTCCGTCCGAAATTTTTGTCCAAAAGTATTTGAGTTATCAACTTGAAACTTCATAGGTGGATAGACCTCATTGAGGAGGAGTGCAGTGCACAAGAATGATAACTCTACCTTGCATGATTTTTGAGTTATTGCCCTTTGTTATTTTTCAAAGTTGATTTTTGTCCAGAGCATAACTCCAAAAGCCTATGAGATATTAACATGAAACTTCATAGGTGCATACATCTCACTCAGGAGGTGTGCAGTGCACAAGAATGATAACTCTTCCTTTCATAATTTTTGAGTTATTGCCCTTTGTTATTTTTCATACCTAATTTTTCACCTGAGTGGAGCATAACTCAAAAAGTGTTTGAGATATCAACATGAAATGTCATAGAAGGAAAGATCTTATTGAGGAGGAATGTTGTGCGCAAGAATGATAACTCTTCCCTATACAATTTTTGAGTTATTGCCCTTTGTTGTTTTTGTGCCCCCACGTTAGTGGCGGGCATTTAGATTTACCCTTGTCCGTCTGTCCTTCCGTCCTTCCGTCCGTCTGTCCTTCCGTCCGTCCGTTCACTTTTGTGTCGCACGTAACTCAAAAAGTATTTGACCTAGAGTCATGAAACTTTACAGGAATGTTGATCAGCATGTGTAGTTGTGCACCTGGGTATTTTCATCTGGATATTTGTAGTATTTTCAGAGTTATTGCCCTTGACTTAGTAAAATTTTGCAATTTTCAACTTGTGTCGCATGCAACTCAAAAAGTATTTGACCTAGAGTCATGAAACTTTACAAGAATGTTGATCAGCATGTGTAGTTGTGCACCTGGGTATTTTCATCTGGATATTTTTAGTATTTTCAGAGTTATTGCCCTTGACTTAGTAAAATTTTGCAAATTTCAACTTGTGTCGCATGTAACTCAAAAAGTATTTGACCTAGTCATGAAACTTTACAGGAATGTTGATCAGCATGTGTAGTTGTGCACCATTTGGTTTTTTCGTCTGGATTTATTTTGTATTTTTAGAGTTATTGCCCTTGACTTAGTAAAATTTTGCAATTTTCAACTTGTGTCGCACGTAACTCAATAAGTATTTGACCTAGAGTCATGAAACTTTACAGGAATATTGATTAGCATGTGTAGTTGTGCACCTGGGTATTTTCGTGTGGATATTTTTAGTCTTTTCAGAGTTATTGCCCTTGACTTAGTAAAATTTTGCAATTTTCAACTTGTGTCGCACGTAACTCAAAAAGTATTTGACCTAGAGTCCTGAAACTTTACAGGAATTTTGATCAGCATGTGTAGTTGTGCACCTGGGTATTTTCGTCTTTTTTTTTTAGTATTTTCAGAGTTATTGCCCTTGACTTAGTAAAATTGTGCAATTTTCAACTTGTGTCGCAAGTTACTCAAAAAGGATTTGACATAGTCATTAAACCTTATGGGCAGGTTGCTCAACATATTTAGATTTGCACCTTGGGTTTCGCTTGTGGATTTATCAAGTATTTGTAGAGTTATTTCCCTTGACTTAGTAAAAAGATTGACAGAACAGTGGCGCGGTGGGGGCACCCGTGTCCTATGGACACATTTCTAGTTTTCATGCTATTTTGTCCAGAGCTTATCTCAAAAAGTATTTGAGGTATCAACTTGAAACTTCATAGGTGGATGGATCTCATTGAGGAGGAGTGCAGTGCTAAAGAATGATAACTCTACCCTGCATTATTTTTGAGTTATTGCCCTTTGTTATTTTTCAAAATTAATTTTTGTCCAGAGCATAACTCAAAAAGCCTTTAAGATATCAAAATGAAACTTCATAGGTGCATAGATCTCACTCAGGAGGTGTGCACTGCACAAGAATGATAACTGTACCTTTTATAATTTATGAGTTATTGCCCTTTGTTATTTTTCATACTTAATTTTTCAATTCAATTTTTTTCTCAAAAAGTATTTGAGGTATCAACTTGAAACTTCATAGGTGGATAGATTTTACTGAGGAGGGATGCAGCACACAAGAATGATAACCTACCCTGCATTATTTTTCAGTTATTGCCCTTTGTTATTTTCAGCCATCAGTATTCACATAGGTTTCAAATCTGTAATCACTATAGCCATCAGTTTTCATTACCAAAAGACCTCTTAAAATGGAATTATTCTGCTCTACTACATATACATTCTTCCAATGAGCAAACGCATTCGGCGGGGGATGGCCATGTTGACATGGCTCTTGTTATTATTTAAAGGGAATTTCAATACCGAAAAGCTGTAAAAGAGCAGCCAGCATATTGTGATTGACAAGACATTGATGCTAGCATTCAAAGATCCAAGATACACGTTCAGTAAATTTGACAAGTTGATTATGTTACACAAACACACAATGTACATATTTTAACCAAAGCAGGGTATATTGTTAATTAAAAGGTCAAATTCGTTTTATGTTATCTACATGTAATAATGATATACATGTATTTGGTTCAAAAGTATGTGTTTTTTGATGTGTGAAAAGGAATCTTTATGCAAATTTTTGTAATTGCTCTAAAGTACCATCAATACGGATCCTAAGGATTAATATGGTTGATAATAAAATTGAATATTACCGAATAAAGTCTCTTCACTGTCACATGAAAATTATAGACCTTGTTTCCCACTTATCTTGAACTGATGAAAAGTGTGTTGAAAATTGACATAAAAACCACACAAAACGAAATTGTGAATGTGTTTTATTGCTCATTTAGCTTGAGGGAGCAAACAGTCCATCAGATGTACCTCGTATGAAGAGACCCACAGGGATACCGGTAGACAGTATGGTGTTTGTAGATGAACCATTACCAGGAACCTACCAAACCCACTCCGGAAAATATGCTGTGCCAAAAATTGATGTGTAAGCTTATTTAATATTGTTTTCCTTCACAAATTTTGACATTCTGTGAAGAGCCTGTCGCAAAGGATTTTCATTACAAAAAAAAACAAACAAAAAACAGAAAAGGATATTCAACTATTCATTTTTATCATTCGGAAATAATAATTTTGGGAGACAATATTCTTTCTTCGGTTTTTGTTCATCCTTCCTCTTATTGCACTGTTTTTGACAGCACTTCCATTTATTCAGGGATAGTTTTGTGATTTGGTACAAATGTTTTACTTTTAGAGAGGCAATGTCACAAATGATAATTAAAAAATTTATAAATTTCTCATAGTTTGTAATGTTTTAGCTTAAAGCAGTGTTTGGGAGCATGTTATCAGGCGCATTAATATTCGCATAAAATTTTCAACTGTAAATGAAGAGATTATCTTGAGAAAGGTTATTACATCTCTGTATGTTAGGTATTTAAATCTTAGTGTTTTAATTATTAAAACATGTTTATTTAAAGCTGCATGCCTCCAGATGAGTCAAAATATTTCAATAAAATCAAACTTGAGAAATATGTACTAAGATTTTAGGAAAAGTAAAATGATTCAAGATTCAAGTAATATTTTACATGTTATGTGCGGTTAATGACTGATTTTTCAGTATTTACAAGTATATTTCTACTGCGTTACTAACGCAGTAAGGGCTATTTATGCATATTTTGACCACTTTTTGGTAATTTACGTGGGTTGTAAGTGCCATTGATAATGTGTAAATTGCTTCCTTTTGGTTATTTCACAATATTATACATTCAAATACATTTTCAAAATTTTCATGAAAATTAGCATGAATCTGGAGGTGTGCTGCTTTAAAGTTAAATAATTGTTTATTGATGAACCTGTTTCAAAACCTGTTTCTATCTAATGTTTGTTTTTCATTGAATGTTTAATGTAGTGTTCGTTACAATTTATTCAACAATTTTTATCTAACAATACAGCGCAGCCTATGTAGAAGGGAAGAAGGAGCGTCCACCATTCTTGCCAGAAGTGGAAAAGAAGCAAGTGGCATTAAAGAAGCCTATACCAAAGGAGTTGAAGTGTCCTCTGTGTGGCGATCTGGCCAAAGATGCTGTGGTCATTCCTTGCTGTGGTATCAGTTACTGTGATGATTGTAAGTTGAATCCTCTCAATGGCTTTAATCTTAAAGCATGCCAACTTTCTTAAATATTTACTGACTGAATAGCAAACAGTGCAAACGCTGATCAGACAGCACATTACCTATAGCATTTGGAACAATCCTGCACTTAAATTCTTTTTCATGTGTAGTGTGTACTTTATTGTCATAAAAACATGTATGAGAATGAATGTAAATTGAAATCAAGAATTTGAAACTAAATATAACATGAAAACATGTAGCTTTTCATAGCTATAAATGATAAAATGATAAAAAAAGTATACAGAAATTTGATAAAATGATAAAAAAGTATACAGAAATTTATCTGTATTGAAATCTTTAATTTGTACTGATGTCAGATTTATAAATTTCAGGTATACGTAACAAACTTTTAGAGTCAGAGGACCATGTCTGCCCTTCCTGTGATAGTATGGATGTGTCACCTGATGGTCTGATAGCCAATCAAATGCTTCGAAGGGCTGTAACGAACTTCCAGAATGAAACAGGCTATGTAAAAATAGCCCAAAGAGCCAGTGCTCTCAAGCTGGCACAGATAAAGGCAGCAGAGGCAGCAAAAGCTGCTGCAGTCGCCACTCAAGTGTTGAAGATGCAGGGACCTATTGTCCCCCGTGGTCCGTCAGTGTTAGACTATAAACCACCACCCAAGCCTCAGACACCACCCTCATCCCAGCCAGCACTATCAGCCGTACAGACACAGCCTCGTGTCAGTGTCTCGACGTCCATGCCAGAATCAATGAAGGTGAATGTCACACCTCAGAAGTCACATGTTCAGGGTTCAGTTGAACAAGAGCCGCCGACTCCTACCCTGGATGAACCTGTTCGTTCTAATAGCTATATAAATCATGTGAGCAGCTCGGCTACACAGAACATCTCAGTGGTGAGTTATTCACTTATAAAATAACCTGAGTTTGAATAATAATGAAAATGTTTTTACTTCTATAATACTACACATAGAAGTATTAATTAATGTGATCCTTGCTATAAAAGTCAATATTCTTTAGTGATATAAGTTACTGTTAAAACTTCATTCATAAGAGGTTCAATGTGCAGTAGATTTTATATCAGATTATTAGATTATAAGACAAAATAAGTTTTTATTCAGTAAATCACAGTAAATATGCCCAACTAATGTTGAAATTTATTAGCCTCAATATCTTTTACTACAAAATTATTGTCTCATTACCACACAAAAAAGTGTTTATAAGATCTTTTTAACCAGAATGACCCCCGTATGACATTTAAACATTATTTAAGGTATTAGGACCCTAATGGGCACTATCAGGAACTAAAAAATTGACATCATAAGTCAGATGTATACCTTAAAGTACACCTGTATGCAAAATTTAAACAAAGTTTGCCGTACGGAAATCAAGTTATGGCCACTTTTCTGAACTCAAGCTAGGATGTTATGAGGGCCCTTTTTATACGCCCATTTGAAAAACAGGACGTATTATGGGAACGCCCCTGGCGGGCGGGCGGCGTCCAATTTTGTCCGGAGCATATCTCCTACATGTATGGAGGGATTTTAATGAAACTTCATAGAAATGTTCACCACTATGAGGAGCAGTGTCTTGCACATGAACCAGGTCAAAGGTCAAGGTCACACTTAGAGGTCATTGAAAAATGCTTGTCTGGAGCAAAACTTCCACATGTATAGAGGGATTTCAATATTACTTGGCACAAATGTTCACCATTGTGTGGCGGAGTGTCGCGCGCAAGATTCAGGTCCTTGCAGCCAAGGTCAAGGTCACACATAGATGTCAAAGTTCAGATAAAAATATGAAGATGTGTATATGGACCATTTAGTCATCATTTATTGAGGGATTGTAACACAAATGGTCATTATCAAGACTAAGGCTGTGATACATATAATTTAGGTCAATATATACAAGGTCAAGGTCACTAAAGATGATGAAATATCCAGATTTTGTCCGGAGCATATCTCCTACACGCATGGAGGGATTTTAATGAAATTTCATAGAAATGTTCACCATTATGAGAAGCCATGTCAGGCACATGAACTAGGTCTCTAGGTCAAAGGTCAAGGTCACACTTAGAGCTCATTGAAAAACGCTTGTCCGGAGCAAAACTTCCACATGCATAGAGGGATTTCAATATAACTTGGCACAAATGTTCACCATTGTGAGGCGGAGTTTCGCGCACAAAATTCAGGTCCCTGCAGCCAAGGTCAAGGTCACACATAGAGGTCAAAGTTTAGATAAAAATATGAAGATGTGTATAGGGACGATTTAATCATCATTTATTGAGGGATTGTAACACAAATGGTCATTATCATGACTACAGCTGTGACACATGTACTTTGGGTCAATATATGCAAGGTCAAGGTCACTAAAGATGGTGAAATATCCAGATTTTGTCTGGAGCATATCTCCTACATGTATGGAAGAATTTTTATAATACTTTATGGAAATGTTCACCACTATGATATGTATTGCTCCATGCATGATCCAGGTCTCAAGGTCAAGGTCACACTTAGAGCTCATTGAAAAACGCTTGTCCGGAGCAAAACTTCTACATTCATTGGGGGATTTCAATATAACTTGGCACAAATGTTCACCATTGTAAGGCTGAGTGTCGCACGCAAAATTCAGATCCCTGCGACCAAAGTCAAGGTTACACATAGAGGTCAAAGTTCAGATAAAAATTTGAAGATGTGTATAGGGACCATTTAGTCATCATTTATTGATGGATTTTAGCACAAATGGTAACTATCATGACTACAGGTGTGACACATTTAATTTAGGTTAATATTTGCAAGGTCAAGGTCACTGGAGATGATTAAATATCCAGATGTTGTCCGGAGCATATTTTCTACATGCATGGAGGAATTTTAATGTTACTTTATAGAATTGTTCACCACCATGAGACGTAGTGCCCTGCACATAAACCAAGTCTCTAGGTCAAAGGTGAAGGTCACAGTTAGAGCTCATAGAAAAACGCTTGTCTGGAGCAAAACTTCTACATGCATAGAGGGATTTCAATATAATTTGGCACAAATGTTCATCATTGTGAGGCTGAGTGCCGTGCATAAAATTCAGGTCCCTGCGACCAAGGTCAAGGTCACACATCCTGTGCATATCTTCCCTACTGATTTGTTTTAAGGTTCATTTAACAACACAGTGCCAAGAATAAAAACTTGCTTGCTAGATAACACTTATCCATAATGCCCCCATCTCCATCTAAAGCTATCGTAAACGGGCGTATTTTGTGACTATGGCACCCTTGTTTAGACAGTAGGAACCTTTAGATAATCTGCAATAACATTCTAATGAAAAATGTTTTCCCATTAATTTTTGATAAGAAACAAATAGTACCATTCAGCTAACAATCCAAATAAGCAAAATTATGGTTTCTACTTAAAATTTATGAAATCTGTATAAAAATGTTACCCTACCTAGGGTTTCTTAATCGGACAAAAATCATAATCGATCATCGAAAATAATCGAACAACCCTTTTTGATCAATCATCGATTATATAATCAAAACATTTATGATAACAAAGTAAAAAAGTATAATGTACATATCATGCTTTAATATTTATAAGAATTCCTTTTCCATGTGACCACCACTTTATCAACTGAAATAAATTAGTTTTAAGATATACTATGCTCATCCTTGAGTAAAATATTTTAATAAAATAAATTCATTAAAATCTATGAAATTATTATATCTCACTTTCTATTAAGGAATGAATAAACTATGTATGGGAACATTAGTTAAGTTGGTCGATCTGTTCTTAACAAACTGCCAGTTTTTTAAATGACACTATATATTGATATTGCAACCACCTATAATGTGTAGAATAATTTTATACATAACATATCTTCTTTGTGCATGCGAAGTCAAAACAAGTTTATTTTATATCTACAAGTAGACGGTATAGCAATTTTAAATATTTTCTAATGTCAAATTTGAGCATAGTATACCTTTAAACTAGCATGCCTGATTGTCAACTATTAACTAAATGGTCACCTGTATACTTTCATATTCAATTGAATGAAAATTAATGTTTCAAACAAAACTGAGTGTTGTTATAATACAGTTAGTCACTAAAGTAACAGCAAGAAAATAAATTACCGATGATCGATCATTAAACTTTGTAATCGATCATCGCCGATCGGTTCTATAACCGATCAATTTTCGATTATACTCGATCATCGTTTAATCCCTAACCCTACCCCACCCATTTTTACCATGTGTCTGACCATTTTTCTACTTAGGGAGCCTAATTTAAAAAATTCTTAAAATTTACCCAAATGAGTGCCTGTTTTCAAAGTTTCCCTAAATTTTTAAAAAAGTATATTGGTTGATCTTGTAAAATATAAAATACTTTTACCGTCTAGTTTTGATTATATTACACTTTGAAAATATCAGGTACCATATTTATTACTAGATTTAGCATAATTTAGCCAATAAATACCTATGTAAATTAAAAAATCAAAATTAAACACTTTTCTTTCCAAATGGGACATGAGAGGTACATAAATAATGTTAAAAGACAAAAAAGAAAGGAAAAAAAAGTTGACCCTTCTGGGGATTGAACCCATGGCCCTCATTTTCAATGTAGTTAACAGTAGTTCTAGCCTATTTGAATACTCTTCAAAGCGGAGGTAATGCATTAGGGTGCTAATACCTTAAGTCAAATACCATGTAAAACCCATATAATTGGAATTTTGTATTTGGATTAAAAAAAACATGTAAATGTGAATGCGTCACTGTAAAATTATCATAACTTCTATTCTCATGAACAGGGAGAACCTCTACAGACTCTAGTTGGCCAGACACTTCAGCCAGTCAATAGAAACCAGAGGTAAGATACAAAATGTTGGAAGTTATAAATTCACAATATGTTAGAAACTATCTTTTCAGTTTATTTAGTGAATCCACAAATATCAAGTTGCCTACTTTTGCATGAGATAGTATGCAAATTGGAATTCATTTTTTTTTCAAAATCATACTTGTTGGCAATCACCAAAATTGTTCATTGTGTGTTTTACTTTTCTTTTATTCATCAAAAGTAAATGGGACAATTCTTAATGAAAATCGTCACATGTACAGAATGCCTTTATTGTCTATATGTAGGAGTTTAAACTTTTGTTTATTAAAAATGAAATGAAAATCTTGTATTTTCTAGGAGACCAGTTGCTTCAAGTGGCTATGACTCATATTACAAGCCATCTATCACCAGTACTTCAGTACCTCCCCCAACTGTGCCACCCTATCCACCCCCTACAGCATTCCCGCCCCCAGGAGTACCACCCCCATTTGTTGGACCACCAGTGTTACCATTGGGTAAGTCATTTATGAATCGGTTATCAGTTAGATCTGACTTCATCTTTCAATTTTATGAAGGCATATCTTGATAAAAGAAATAAGGCATCAGAGAAATTTGATAAGACTGCTTGATGCTAAATATATATATTTTTATCTTGTCTTTTCTACTAAACACTCCAAACAGACAATTAAAAAATGTAAAAAGTATTTAACGAAAATCAAGAAGGGTAAAGATGGATAAATATTTGTTATTTTCAGTGAGACCTCCCATCGTTCCACCTGTGATACCTCCAGTGTTCCCAGGAGCTCTCCCCCCACGACCTACAGTAGCTGCACCCCCTATCAATTTATGCCGAAACCTCTGTCTGAAACAGAATTCCTGGAGGAGAAGAACAGACTTCTAAGGGAAGAACTTGAGTAAGTACAATAAAATTTATGGAAGAGATTCCTCTTAATAAAGAATTGGGTTATTAATTCAAAAGATTCTTTGTTGTTAAATTGTATATTATATTGTCCAAAATTTAAGATATTTGTTTTAATTGTTTTGATAATGTTAATACCAAAGTACCTAAATTGATTTAAAAGAATATAACTTTCAGTTTAAAGCAGTAGCCAAATTGCTGGACTTTAATAAAAATGGCATTGAATATTTGTTATGGAATGTTTATTTAGAGACATTTTAGTATACATTGCTAAGGGGCGTCAGTGGTCGAGTGGTTATAGTTGTTAACTTCAAACCACTTGCCCCTCACCACAATAATTCAAATCCTGACAGCTATTTTGGATTCTTTCATGTGTGGAAGCTATCCAGCTTAATTACTGAATGTTGATGGTTCTACTCAGATGCCCGTTGTGTTTGAAATAATGCACGGAAGGGCACCAGATGCCTTCCTCCACTAGTAAAGCTGGAAAGTCGCCATATGACCTATATTGTGTTGATGCCAGTTACACCCTTTAATTTTTATCATGAATTAAAATTCATTAAAATTAGAAGTCCCTGACCACAAGGGAGCATAATCACTTTCTTAATATGGTTTGCTTTGAGGTTGTATTTGAGCTCCTGAATAAAAAACTTTGAATTTCAAGATAATCTGGCAGATATCTCAAATGACTATATAATTAGCAATACAAGATTACCATTGCCTTTATGTTATGTTGGGTGACATTCATGTATATTAAATGAGATTATTTTGACTGATTGTTTGATCTGTTTTATCATTTTCAGGCGGAAGGAAAAGGATCCACTATTGGAATTTGCCAAGAAATTAGAGCAACGTAAAGAGAGGAGCTTCAAGTCTAGATCCAGATCACCCAGGCCTCGATCTAGGTAAACAGATATTAATTTATGAAAGCTTTAAAGTATTGAATAGGGTAATGTTTAAACTTTATAGAGCAATATTTAAGTATAGTTTGACGCTTTAAGTACTTGCTCAACTTGCTGTAAAAGGTTTTTACATTTGCCACAGATCCTACATGTTTGATCAATAAAATAGTTACGAGCAACAAAAATCTTTTTATTTTTTAAGTTTATAATTATGATGTCAATCTTTCTCTTCAGATCCTTGTCAAGGCCAAGGTATCGTTCTCGATCAAGGGGAAGAAGTTATTCAAGATCACCACGTAGATCTTACACTCCAAGAAGGTCATCACTGTCTCCAAGAAGATCATATTCACCACGAAGGTATTCTCCAAGGAGGTCAAGGTCACCTAGATACTCGCCAAGGCGATACTATTCACCCAGGCACTCTAGGTCACCTAGACGGTCGCTATCACCTAGGCCCAGATACAGGTCATATTCAAGGTCACCTGTCAGAAGAAGGTCATTCTCACGATCCAGATCTAGAGACAGGCGAAGGTCACCGTTCAGACGATCACTTTCAAGAAGTCCTCTAGGTAGACGTTCCCCATTTAGAAGGTCTTACTCAAGAGGAAGGTACACACCGCCAAGATCAATATCACCATATAGAAGATCACCACTTAGGCGTTCAAGGTCAAGAGGTCGTAGTCCTATTGACCAATATCGTAGATCAAGGTCACCTATAAGGTATTCACCTCAAAGGAAGAGGTCACCTCTTAGAAGATCAAAATCACCTTTTAAAAGGTCTCCAATTAGAAGGTCAAAATCTCCAATTAGAAGGTCAAAATCTCCAATTAGAAGATCAAAATCTCCATTAAAAAGATCACCAGGTAGAAGAACGAAAGATAAACCTTTGTCAAGAGCAAAGTCTCCCAAGCAGCCAAGGGAGGCTGAGAAAAAATCTGCTTCTACTAAACTCAAGGATAAAGAGAGGAAAAACACTGATACAAGTTTAAGTGACAATGTGAACAATAATAAGCAAACAAAATCTGCCGAACCAAACAAAGAAAACATTCCATCCAAGCCAGTTAATTCTAGATCAAATAACATTCTGATAAACATTGTTGACAGTACAACAGATGAGAATAGTGAAGTTGAAGGCAAGAATTTAAAAGCTGATAGTAATCAAAATGAAAATGCTGTATCTAATAAAAGTAATGATAAAATTGAAAAATCTGCTGTTGAATTGAAAGATAGTAAAGGTAGTGGGGAGAGTGAAAATAAGCAAGTATCTAAGGCTGAAACTGAACGCAAACTTAAATCCAGATCTAGATCTAAAAGTAAAGAAAAATCTGCTCATTCTAGTAGGCAGAATAAACCAAAAAAGAAAAGAAGTCCGAAAAGAAAAGAGAAGTCTGTGTCACTCTCCCCTGAGAGGGTTAAGAGTCCCCTAAGAATGCCTTACAGAGATAGATTTGAAGGTGGTAGGGGTGAAAGGTTTGAAGCTGGTAGAGGTGAAAGATTTGAATCTGGTAGAGGTAGAATGGAAGGGGGAAGGGAAAGGTTCGAGGTTGGGCGGGGAGGATATGGTAGGGACTGGGAAAGAAATAGGGATGCAGACCCATATTTCAGGGCTAGACAAAATGTTGGATTTAGGGGTAGAGATTTTAGGGGAAGAGGTAGGGGTTCAGATTTCAGGGGTGGTATTGGAGATTACAGGGGACAGCAGCCACCTGACTTTAGGAATGTTGACTACAGGCCTCCGCCACAACAGCCACCACCAGGGGACTTTGGTGCATATCCCCCTCCATTATCAGATCCGGCTGCCATGCCTGGCCCATACAACAGAGATTACCCTCAGAGAGGATCACCGGCTTATCCTGCAAACTATGGACCTAACTTTCCCTATCCACCACCAAGAGATCCACGAGAGGATCCCAACTGGCAAGGGTTAGTTGAACTTCAGGTCTTTTTAATGCAAACATTACTTCATATAAAACTCTTTGAAGATGTCAGAATGTTGTCTTGCTTGATTTATCTTTCCAATTTATGGGTTTTGTAATATATATCTAAAAGAAAGCGTCAATTAGGGTACATTCTATATAAATAACGTTATAAGACTTGACAGATAGGTCAATTTGTTCAGCATACATGTATCAGATACATTGCTGTCATTTTGATGCCTGTGTGATTTTAAGGAATACTCCTTAATAACACGTTTTGGTTTAAAGTAATATTAAAAATAGTGACAATAATGTAAGCTAGTGGTTATGGTGAGAAAAATTATATTCACATGCGAGTTATCGGATTTAAATATTGTTTCTTATTCAGTTGGACATGGGTTAATCATGAAAATAAATTTAATTGATTAATAATCGATTAATATTCCCATTAATCAGCATGCATTTTCCTGATCACTGTAATAGTAATTAAATCAATACATGCAAAAAGAGGCTGTAATCATGATTAATTTATGATTACTTTCTGTAATATGTTGGATAATAAGTAGACCTTGGATAAATGGATACAAAATTAAAGGCTCAAAAATGAACACATTTTTACTTTTTTAGAAAGGGCAAAACATGAGTTTAACATCATTTTAAATAATGGTTTAAGAGCGTGCTAGATGCATGTTACTGGAAAAAAGTGGTAAATGTGAAATAAAATGTTAAAAAAGTAGCAAAATGTAAAAAGAGCAGTACAGTATTTTGACTTCCATTCAAAATACTAATCAATGTAACAAGACTAATTGCCAAAAAGCAACAGAAGAAAAAGTAAGGTCAGGTATTTGGCCAAAGAGTATCTTGTTGAAAACTAGAAAAGAAGACCAGATATAAAAAGCTTTTCAGAAATGAAATAAAACTACTTGGGCCTTAATGGGCCTTAAGTGAGACCAGTTACAACCATCTTTTTTTTTTTGCTAAAAATGTTCTATTCTAACAACATGCCAAGGTTAAATAAATTCTATTGAACTTTTTTTTCCGAGCCCGCTTGCAGAGAGCTTGACATAGTTGTCACAATGGCTGTTCGGTGTATGTATGTGGGTCTGTATGTCCATCCAGATTATGCTTGTCCAGGTTGTAACTCATTAGTAGGCAGAATTTCAAATGTTGCGCGTAAGAACCGTGGCTGGGTCAAAGGTCAAGGTCATACTTTAAGGTCAAAATGCAATAAAATGGTCTCGGAGAGCTTGTCCACACCATGTCTCAATCACTAGCTGATGGAATTTTAAATAACCTGGAACAAATGTTTAACATTATGGGATGACTTGTCATGTGCAAGAACTGTTTGGCTAGGTTACAGGTCAGCTTGTCCGCACCGTAACTCTTATCACAAGCTTGTGGAATTACAAATAATCTGGCACAACTGTTCAACATTATAAGATGGTGGGTCAAGGTCAAGGACAATTAAAATGATCATGTTGCTTATCAAGGAAAAATTTTAAGACAAGGGCATTATCATAAAAAAGCAATATTATTCCTCTTTTTAAATTAAACGTTTCTTAAAATTTGTTAATCCCGTTCCTCATAACAGGAAGGGGATTATAGGAATGACCTCCATCTTGTCAGTCTGTACCACCGAATAAGGACAGGGGGCAACCTAACTGTAAGCAGAGCAGAAGACAACAATAGAGTTCATTCCGTAACAATAGAGTGAACAAAAGAAATGGTCCCTTATCCTATTTCTGCCGGACGTCCGCCAGTAACATTGTGGCAGCTCCATAACTTTTTAAACTGCTGAACTTTTTATGCCCCCACAAAGTGGGAGCATATAGCGTTCCACTTGTCCGTCCGTCCGTACGTCCCGAAATCTTGTTAACGCAACTCCTCTAAAATCGGATGGCAGATTTTGCTTAAACTTCCAGGGATGAACAACCTTAATGTGTAGATGGCAGTAAAGGAAGGAATTTTCGCTGCAACCAAATTTAACAGAATTATGGCCCTTTGTTGATTTTTTCACTATATACTAAGTCTATGTAGAAATTTTGTGAACGCAACTCCTCTTAAACCAGATGGCAGATTTTGCTTAAACTTCCAGGGAAGAACAACCTTAATGTGTAGATGGCAGTAAAGGAAGGAATTTTTGCTGCGACCATATTTAACAGAATTATGGCCCTTTGTTGATTTTTTCACTATATACCATATAGAAATTTTGTGAACGCAACTCCTCTTAAACCGGATGGCATATTTTGCTTAAACTTCCAGGGATGAACAACCTTAATGTGTAGATGGAAGTAAAGGAAAGAATTTTTGCTGCGACCAAATTTAACAGAATTATGGCCCTTTGTTGATTTTTTTCACTATATACCATATATATGTTGTCAGTGGGGGCATCCGAGTCCTTTGGACACAGTTCTAGTAATTAAATAACTTGGCACAAATAATAACCATTATGAGAGGATTATGTAATGATGCTCTTGATATGTGTCTGTCCAGGTTGTAACATATTTTTGAAGCAGTTGAAATATTTGCTACATTCGAACCTATTAGTTTTAGCTTAAGCTGTATTTTGCAATATTGAAACTATACATAATGTATATTGCCATAGTTTGTCAATTAAAATTGAGACTTCAAATGCCTGGAAGTATCTATTGAAAAACTCTTTCCTTCTAAATGTATTTATTGATGTACTGCAATATTTGCATCTACAGGTTAGTAAGGGATGAGGATATTGTGAAGTTTGAGCAGTATAAACAGCTGTACGATTTCTATAGCAACAGTAGAACATATGGATTTCCCCCAGCCCCTGTCAGTACATCTGTCCCATCTGGGCAGACACCACCACAGGGTCCCCCGCCAGCACCTCCAGGCACAACACCCTTAATTACACCACCAGAACGAGGGGGCTCACCAGGAAGGAGGCGATCATTGTCACCTAGGAGACACAGGTTAGATTGTTAATTAATCTAAATGAATACCGGCATCATATATATACCAACACAAAAATAAGTCTATGCAAATTCAATACATGGTGTACTTCAGATAATATTGCATTTGAAGGAAGTGAAATGTAATGAAATATACAACCAGATGTATGCATAATATATGGAAATAATAAAGTCATTAAAGTGCATTGACTGTCCTGTTCTTATATATTTTATACAAATACTATTATTTCTTTGTTTTTCTGGGTCAGGACTTGCACTAATAATACATAACCTACTAAAATATGTTAAATTAATAATCTTGTTGTTTTGAAAGATAGCTTGCATTTTTCAAAATAAATGATCAACATTGGCAATAGATAAATTTTCTATCATTTTTACAGCAGTTTTGCATTCTTACTTTAATACTGAATTTACATTTGAGAGCTTAAAATAAGTTATGTTTTATCAAAATACATATAAAAGAAATTGGATTTGGCGTTAAAAGGTTCTGAATATTGAAATATTTGAACAAAATAAAATTTTATGTTTAGGTCTAGAAGTCCTAGGAGAGATGGAAAGGACAGGAGGGACAGGGAGAGAGACCATAGAGAAAAGAGAAGTTCAGCTGAAAGAAGAAAAGATGACCGTGAAGACCGTAGCCCAGACCGCAAACGTGACTATTCTCCAGAGAAAAAGATGACAACTGATGATAGTAGAGATGAAACAAGTCCCGAGAAAAAGTCAAAAGACAATGAAAAGGAAAGTAAAAAAGAAAGAAAAGCTAGAAGAAAGAAGGAAAAAGCAGAAGGTGTTGAGAAGAAGAAGAAAAAGAAGAAAGATAAGGAAAAAAGTAAATCTAAGAAAGACAGAGCTGAGAAGAAAGCCAAAAAGCTTAAAACAGTTGAACAGTCAGAGAATGAAGAGGGAGTTGTCAGTAAATCAAAATTATCTGAGTCTCAAAATGAAACAGATACAGATAAAAGTGATAGTGACACTGAAAGCAAAGTGAAAACAAGGACTTCTAGACAGAATTCGACTGCACAGTCGGATATGTCTGACCATGAGGTGGCTGAGGTAAAGAAGATTAAAAAATTTATAAAGACAGAAATTAAGGAGGAGATTGAATCAGATACCAAACAAAGTGTAAAGAAATCAGATTCAGATCTTGAAGAAGAGAAACATTCTCCTGTGAGAGTAAAAACAGAAATTGAGTCGGACAATGAAAACAAGGAACCTGTTAAACTAGAGAAAAGAAGGTCTATTAAGAGAGGAAAACCTGAAGCTGATGTTGAAGAGGCCACTGAAGCTAAAAAAGCTAAATTGGAGGAAGTAGTAAAAGAAGAAGTGAAGGAAGAAAAGATGGAAACTTCTGATGGTGCATCTCCAGCTGGTTCTGAAGGTATTTAGTGTATTGGTTGAATTTTATTTCCTCAGAAAAATGCGCAATTAGACTATCAGAGTTATTGTAAAGATAATAGATTTTTAGTTTACAGTTAATTTGATGATTTGATTGTTTATAAGAGTTTTGTTAGTTTTAAAGTCTGGACATTGGGGTTTGTAGAATTCAGTCATATTTTCTGCAAATCATTTAACAAAAATGGTTATAATTATACTTTCACTTGAAATTGGCAGTGTTTTGCATTGACTTAAATATTGAAATACTGTTGGGAAAAGGCGTAAAATAAAACAAACAAAATATTGAAGTTTTGAGTATGTGACAGGCCTTGCTATACACCTGTAAGTATAGTGATTTTTATGTGAAGATGAATGAATTTCTCATTTTTATCAGGTTTTGATGATATACCCCATCCAGAAGATGAATTGATGTTAGATCCACCAGAACTATCCAAGTGGGAGAAATGGGAGAAAGATGAGGTTTCCATATGATTTTAAGTCCCCCCCAGCCAAACCCAAAGGAAAAGTGGAACCCTTTGGAAAAAAAAACCCATTTTTGCCTGGTTTAAAACAAAATTTTTTTGGGTATATACGTTTTTAAAACCTTCTCACCCAAACCCCATTTAGTTGAATGGGATTTTTTGGTGTTTTTGAGTCAAAAGATTTGCATTTTTTGAATTTATGATCTGCCATATTGGGGGTTTAATTTAGATGATTTAATGAGCATCGGGGAAAGGGGGAAAAACTTTTTTTTTCGGGACAAAAGGGAAACCCAACTTGCCTGGTACTTTTTTTATTTTGGCCCACTAAATAAAAAATAGGCCTTTGCCATTGTAGGAACCCTTGCATTGGATTAACATTAATTTCTTATTTATGGTTCCTATGAAAATTGCCTAGTAATTAATGCTACCTGCTTTAGGTTCTAATCCCTCAAGGACAGGACTCTTTATATCCATCCAGCTAAATGTTGGTGGTTCTACTGAGGTGACGCTTATTTCTGAAATAATGCATGGAGTGGCAGCCACAGCCATTCTTCATCAACTCTGCTCGACAGTTGACATGTGACCATATACAGTGTCAGTTTGACTGAAAAACTCGACTAACCAGCCTAAGAAAGTGTTCAAAAACTTGTTTGACACTATGAAATGACATCAAAGGCCAAGCGATGTAAAACTTTCACAATGATTTATTGAACTTGTTATGTTGCTTAATTAAGTTAATCATTTTGTAAGGGTGAGTGAATTCTTTTGAATAAGAAAAATGAAATTTTGATGAAAATTGTACATCATTATTAGATTGAAAGAAGCCATCTGTACAGTAAATCAGATTTAAGTAATATAATCGAGCTTTTGTTATTACAGATCTGTGATTGAGAAAGCTGAACATGCATTAGCACAGAAGGTCATGAAACCTACGTCTGTGAGCTCTGCAGTTTCTGTCATCCAGCCTGTCAAGACAAAAGAGACAAAATCAGACATTAAGGACGTAGAGCCTGTACAAAGTAAGAGGGAGAAATCTCCAGTGGTTGAACCAAAACGTCGAGTATTTATGGAACCTGATAAGAAAAAGGATGAACGAAGGGTAGCAACAAAGCAGCAACATAATGTTAAGATAACAGTCACAGGTGACGAGAAAAGAAAAGTGGCCACTGGAAATGACCTTCGAAATAAACTCAGGGAAAAACGGCGGGAAAGTGAACATTCTAGAGACTATGAGAGATCGAGGGATAGGGATCGTGATAGAAGCCCAGAGAGAAGTAAGAGAAAGGATAGTCACAGTTATAAAGACAGACGTAGTAGTCGAGATTATGACAGACAGGATAGTCGCAGTAGTGTTAAAGATTCAGATAGAGGTAAAGGTGTCGGGAGGTCTCTTTCTCGTAAAGAGTCTGTAATAGATGATTCTCGATTTGTTCCGGACTATGACGATGACGAGAGCTTTTCGGAAGATGAAAATTCAGAGGACAGTAGTACTGATAGCTCTTCAGACGATGCGGTTGTGCAAAGGAAACATAAACATAAGAAAAATAAACACAAAAAGGATAAGAAGCAGAAAAAGAAGAAAGAAAAGAAGAAAAAGAAACATAAATTAGAAAAAGAAAAGAAAATTAAATCCTCTGTCGGGAAATAGAAAACTTGAATTTTTTGTGTTAAACAATTATTTCATAATGATTTAACAGGGGTTGTAAAGTCCAATTTTATTGACCTGTCAATTCAGTTTAATGCTTATATGAAAATTCAGTCTAATATTGGTAGTACACATATTTGTCTACTTTTCAAATATTTAGAATATATGTTTATAAGCTGTGTTCAATTTTTTTTTCTTTTCCTCCTTTATGTTATATTTAAAAGAAAAAATTTTTTTTGGTAAATTGAAATTAATTGCATATTGTAAAAAATATTACCACTAAACCATACATGGTAAATGTTTTTGATAAGCTGTATAATCTAAAGTTTGATAATAACTATTTTGAAAAGATTGAATGAAAAACTGAAGGTTGGGAAAACAGTTAATAATATGTATTAATTGCTAAAATACTTGTCTGTGTAAGGAGCATTAAGGATCCAAGCATCAAAACCTCATAATGGAATATATTACAAACCACCTAAGCCCAGTCTTGCTTCAGACATATGCTCTAATATAAAAAAAAAAATTTAATGTATCTTTAGCACTAATATAAGAACTGCACAGTATGCAATTGACAGGTTGCTATAAATGGACAATACGATTCTACTAAAGAAATGCATAAAAGATTGTCTTAAACGTTTGTTATATTGTATTGGAAATGAGATTTATTTCACAGACTTTTAAGAAATTTATCTGTTGTAGTTTTTGATTGGAGTAACAATGTGTCATGTAATATTTTTACTTGCTTATTGGTTTCCACAGATCTACTATTTTGCTCAAAAATTATCATGACCTACTGTAGGGTTTTTTTTGGAGTGTATCCTATTGTTAACCTTACATTATTTAATTGAACTGACTTCGAGTTTGGAACTGTCAATAGTTTCCATGGACTTCAGTACTAATATGGGACAGTTGACGTCCTGTGTAGGCTGGCTTTGCTCTGTACTGTTGGAATATAGGCAAATTATTGCTACTTGTGGCTATAGTGTAAATATTTACAGGTTAAAATATTGGAAATTTTTCCAAGTAAAATACATTTTGAAATATGAGTAAATTGGTTTGAGTGTTCATGTAAATAGCTTTGTTAAGATTGTACATTATGTTAGATAAATTGATTTAGTGCCTATTTATTTATCAGAAGTGTAAATGATCTGTTTGCACTAAGTGTTGAATGAAGTATTTTAACCCTTGGCCTGCTGGGAACAACTTATTTTAAAAATAACCCATGCAGCCCAGTGCAGACCAAGATCAGACTGCCCAGATCTGATTGTGGTCTGCACTATTCAGTACATGAACTTATTTTGACATTTTTCCAGGGAAAAAAAATGGTCTTGTTCAGATTGAAAATCATGCAAGTCCTTTAATTTTTAGTGTGGTTAGGGTTAAGTGTGGAGAAATGTATTCTATATTAGAACTTGAATATATATTTATGCTGAGATTGAATGAATACATGTAGTTTTATTGTAATTATTGTACATAAAATAGTGATAACTAGAAATTATTGTTAAGAATGAGTATTGATGTACATAAAATCACCTTATATCTAAGTGCTTATAGTATTGTACACTTATTTCATTAATTAATATTATTAATGCTATAAAGAGAATACTGATAAGTATCACAATATAATAATACAGATATTTACTATGCTGTCAGATTCAAGGTTTTAGTGACTATTTCTGTAATAGACTTAATCCGTTGTCCGGTAATAAATTCTAAATAATTTGATTTCCCAAGAGTATAGAGTTTTGTAGACGAAAATGGAAATTAGAACAACAGTATGAAGTTTTGCTAACCTACACAGGTGTGCAGGCTGGCCTAGCTCTATGCTGGTGTCTTGGCAAGTCAAAAAATGCTTCCAGGGTTCAAAAGTTAAAATGTGTACATATATACTAAGATTTGAATGGCATTAATGATTGGTGGAAATTTTTATGAATTTGCACTTTTTTGAATACATTAATTGTTCAATTAGTCTAAGTGACTCAAAACATGTTTGTGCATAATATATATCATAATAATTAGGCCTTTGGCCATTACATGTCTATATTATTATATACAGTTCATTGTTATTTTAAGGGGTTTTGATGAATTTCTTAAACTTTATCATCTTCTATCATAAGGCCAAGTTGGCCTGCATATTATTGCAGTTTCCCTGGACTATAAACTTATGCTAGAAGTCCTCATCACAATGATCATGTAAATTTATACGGTCTCGTTAACAATGCAAAGTTATACGGTATGCAGTTATACGGTCTCGTAAACAAATTTGAAAAAGTTTCATAAGTTTTAAGGCATTAATTGGTAAAAATGGGATTTTTTGGGCATTATTTTCACTCTAGTCTGCAGGATTGATTCAGCTGTTCTATTTATTGTTCATTACAGATTATTTGAATTTTTAAATATTGACATGCATTCATTAACTGTAAGTCATATTGGTTTTATTTCACTATTTTAAGCTATTATTTCCAGTTGTTTATCCAAGGATAGTAAAGACACTCGTATAAAATTACAGTAAAGATTTAAAACTTTTAACATAGTTGAAACTTCACCGACATTTTCCTCTTGATAGTTTAGTGCCAATTTTAATTAAGAATAATTTCTGTATGGTGGCAAACCCACAGTCAATTTTAATATAAATTTTAAAGCAAAACGTTCATTTTGAGATAAGGACACAATTTACTTATTTCATTATTGAATGTTAACGTTTCTGAAAATATTGTCTTTGTGAATAATTTGTACATACTGATTTTCACCTATGTGGTGTTTTGTATAGATAATTAAACAATTGTAAAATCATGTTATTTGGTGATCTCTGCAATAAAAAAGATAAAATCCATTTTGATTGTTATTCATCACTGTTTATATATCTTTAGCTTCCACAAATGAGAAGCTTATTAATTTGTGTTTTCACTTAAAAAATCTTGTTAAAAAACCAAAATAGCTAGGCAAGGAACATCGCTTAGTCAGTGTCTACTAGATTTGTTCATATAAAATCCCTGGGGTCGAAATTGACCCAGCCCAAGGAAATCCTTAATATTTCTTATACATGTATGTATATATTATATAGTCGACTTCAGAAAAATCTTTTAAAAATCCCAAAGAGCTAGAGCTTAGATATTAAGCATGAAACATCTTCTAGTGTGACTGTCTACCAAGTTTGTTCAAATAAAAGCCCTGGAATCAAATTTGGGGTCATTGATTTTCATTTTATGTATATAGTAAAAAAAAAAATATATCTTTTAAAAAAAAACAAAGAACTGGAGCTTTAATATTTAGTATGAAACAACTTCTAGTGTGTGTCTTCTTAGTTTGTTCAGAAGCTCTGGGGTCAAAATTGGTCCTTCCCCATGGGGTCATTGTACACATCTATCGGAACTGTTGTTTTCCCTTAGCAATAGCAACCAGTTATGTTTTTACACATGCACTATTTCAGATACAAATATGAACTTTGTGAGAACAATTTAAGATTTAGATTTTATATCGGCTATTGGCACTTTGCGAATCAGAATGAAACGAGGGGCACCGTATAGAGGAAATTTAGTACAAATAGCCCTTTATATCTGCTTTTGTTTATAGTTAACAATAGTACTTGTTCCTCGTCATTGAGAGCTTTTAAATACAGGTGAACGATTTCAGGGTCATCTTGATTCATGGCCCTCTTGTTAAATAACCTAGCATATCTACCACATCAAGATGTGTCACGTTCAAGACCCAGTTCCCTACCTCAAAAATCAAGGTTGCACTTACAGTTTGAAGGTACTCATTCTTACAAAAGTAAAGGTACACATTCATGTCCGAACTGTAACTTTTGTCATGTTTTGAAGGATCTTTTTAACAAAATTTTTTAACCCAAAATTTCCCAACCCGTCCCCCCCCCTTTGGGGGAATTTTTTTAGGGGTTTTTCCTAAAAAAATTGTTTTTTGGTTTCCAAAGGGTTTTTCGGGCCCAAAAATTATAAATTAAATGCTATCTGAAAATCCCCAACAAAAAATTTATAAAAGTTATTGAAACTAAATTTTTAAAAATTTTAGCATTTTTAAGGTTTAAACCTCTAAGTGGGGGACCTTGCCCTTTGGGGAGGTGGGGGGTTGCGGGTGTTGTGCATGACTTTTACTTCTTTTTTATTTTTAAAATTTATTTTTTAAAAAAGTATTTTCAAAAATCCCTTAAAACTATAAAAAAATTTATAGAGGGGACAAAAAAATATCCCCCTCTAACAGACTATGCAAAATTTTTTTGACCTCTTAGAGTGAACCTTGGAGGGTAGGGACCCATGTTTTTCGCCTGACATATCGTCTTATTATTGTGATTATTTGTGCAAAGTATTTTTAAAATCCCTTGACCTATGAAAGTTATGGACTGGACACAAAATATTCTCTATAACAGACTATGTAGATCTTTGACCTCTACATGTGACCTTGACTTTGGAGGTAGGGACACTGGTGTTACGCATTACATATCATCTTATCATTATGACTACTTGTGCCAAGCATTTTCAAAATCCCTTGATCTATGAAGAAGTTCTGGATGGGACACAAAATATACCATATAACAGACTGTTAACTTTTGACCTCTAAGCATGACCTCGACCTTGGAGGTAGTGGTGCAGGTGTTGTACTCGACATATCGTCTTATTATTGCGACTTTTTGTGCAAAGTTATTTCAAAATCCCTTGAACTATGAATAAGTTCTACATTGGACACAATATTATATACCCTTTAACAGACTATGTTAATTTTTGACCTCGAAATGTGACCTTGACCTTGAAGGTTGGGATGCAGGTGTTGCCCATGACACATCATCTTATTATAGTGACTATTTGTGCCAAGTATTTTCAAAATCCTTTGATATATGAAAAAATTATGGACCGGACACAAAATATACCATATAACAGACTATGTTTATTTTTGACCTCCAAGTGCGACCTTGATCTTGGAGGTTGGTGACCGATTGTTGCGCATGACACATCATCTCATTGTTGTGAACAATTGTGGCAAGTATTTACAAAATCCCTTCAAAGATAAGAAAGTTATGGACCGGACACGACATTTACCCTCAAATAGAAAATGTTGACCTTGACTGGAGGTAGGGGTCTGGTTTTGCGCATGACACAGTCTTACTATAACAAACATTAGTGTCAAGTTCTTTCAGATTCCTTCAATAAATGACAAAGTTATGGACCAGACACGCAAGTGTGACAGACAAACGGATGGAGTCTATTTCTATATCCCCTTTTTCCTCGAAAAGGCGGGGGGACAATAACTTTGCGCAAATGTCTACCACATCAAGATGTTGCGTCACATCCAAGGACCAGTTTGAAGGTTCACACAAGTTTTAATTACAAGTTAAAAGTACACCATTTGTGTATGGACTGCAACTTTTGTCATTCATGGAAATTTTTTAATAACCTAGCACATCAAGACCACACTTCGCATTCAAGTTTAAATATATAAAATAATGACCGATTTTTTAGTATTTACAACTATATTTCTACTGCGTTACTAAGGCAGTAAGGGCAATTTATACATATTTTGACTACTTTCTGGTAATTTACATGGCTTGTAAGTGCCATTGATAATGTGTAAATAGCTTCCTTTTGGTTATCTCACTTTATACATTCAAATACATTTTCATGAAAATTAGCATGGATCTAGAGGCGTGCTGCTTTAAGCGAAAAAAAAATTGGGGTCAACGTTCTCGTTTTGGAGTTATCTGCCCCTGAATCAGAATTTTCTATTTATTTGAGGTCATTTCAAGGGCAGATGACTTATTCATACTTAAATGAAATATTGTTTTTACTTCTGGATTGTTTTTCTTTTTATTGTCGAGGACAATACACAATAGTGACAATAACATGCAATTCCTTTTATTGTTTGTTAAATTTTTTTTCAATAAAATAAAGGCACTTTAAATTCTTAAAAAATCCGCCATTTTTTAATACAAAATGCACAGGTTAAAAGTGAAAAAAAAACCAAAAAACAACTATCCACTCTAAATTAGTTCTTAAAAAATTTTGCACATCGACTAAAACGAAGGTAAGATTCATGAAAAAATATATGTATTTTTGCCTTCATTGTAAATTATCTGCCCTTGAATTTAACAAAAAGCCAAAATTGAGCAGAAATCAAGCAGATTCGCTAGAAGGTCTCTATACCTTTGAGGAAATTTCAGAAACACTTAAGAATATGAAAAATGACAAAAGCCCAGGGTCTGATGGTTTTACATCAAATTTTTTTAAAGTTTTCTGGAAACAAATTGGACATTTTGTCGTCAGAAGTATTAATTATTCTTTTATTAAAGGTGAATTATCACTTACCCAAAGGCAAGGTATAATTACCTGTATCCCGAAAGAAAACAAACCAAAACAATATTTAAAAAACTGGCGACCAATAACTTTATTGAATTATACTTTAAAACTAGCCTCAGGCACATGACTTAAGTCAGTTTTAAATTGTTTGATAGATACAGACCAAACAGGATTTTCTAAAAGGAAGATTTATCGGAGAGAATATACGATTAGTCTACGATATAATGAATTATTTAGAAAAAAAAAGAATGCCAGGACTATTAGTAATGATTGACTTTGAAAAAGCATTTGATACACTTTCCTTTTGATTTTATAAATAAGACTTTTGAATTTCTTTAATTTTGGCCCAATGTTTAGAAAATGGATATCTCTTTTTTATACAAATACTGAAACTGCTGTTCAAATGAATGGATTTTTTTGTCTAACTTTTTTAAAATAGGGCGTGGTTGTCGTCAAGGAGACCCCATCAGTCCTTATATTTTTATCTTATGTGCCGAAATATTAGCCATCAAAATAAGAACTAATAAAAATATAAAAGGTATACATATCAACGGAACAGAGTATAAGATTTCACAGTATGCTGATGATACCTCTTTACTGTTAGATGGATCTGATCAGTCTTTTTAAATTGTACGCTTGATATTTTACATGAATTTTCTATTATTTCTGGATTAAGAGTTAACTTTGAAAAAACACATGTTATATGGATTGGCTTCTTTAAAATATAGCACTAGATCAATAAAAACTAGGTGGAAATTAATTTGGGGTAGTACATCATTTAGATTACTTGGTATCAACTTTCACGTTGATTTTAGAAAAAATGATAACTTTGAATTATACTGCAAAAATTGAAAATATCAAAAAAATATATCCAGTGTTGGAAAAGAAGGGCTTTAACACTATTGGTAGAATAACTGTTGTAAAGTCACTGTTACTTCCTTTATTAACTAACTTGTTTATATCACTTCCAAATCCAAATTCTCAGATGTTAAAGGAAATAAGTAATATGTTTTATGATTTTGTGTGGCAAGGTACACCAAAGATTAAATCTTCTGTATTTGGTGAAAGAATATGTAAATGGTGGTCTAAAAAATGATTGATGTATGTGCTTACATGAAAAGTTTAAAACTTTCATGGTTAAGAAGAATTGTATCATCTGAATTGATATAAATGTTACACTATTTTAGAAAACTTTTTTAGATATTAGGAAGCTATTTAATTGTGGAAAGTTATATACAGCATATATATTTAATATTTTTGAAAAATTCATTTTGGAAAGATGTTTTAGGTGCTTATGTAGAATTTGTAGAAAAAACACCGATTATTTCTATGGAAATGTTTGTTAGAAAATGCCTCTGTTTCTATAACCAATATATTTTTGATGGATAGAAAACCTATTTTTATAAAAACATGGTATGATAAAGGTATAAGGTTTATCAAAGATATTATGAATGTGAATGGTATTTTCCTTGAAAGGAATGAATTGGAAGCAAGATTAGGCATTAAAGTAAACTTCATTTACTATGAATTAATTACAAGTGCTGTCAAGAAATACAGAAAGTGTATTAAGTTTAAAGTTATGTGAAAATTATGAAATTGCTTCCTATTGTCCCATTATATGTTGTTATTTAAAGCCTATACTACTTTGTGTTAAAGGTACATCAGACATTTGTACAATATATACATAAAAAATGATGATATTCCAACTTGTCAGACTAAATGGAACACTTGCTTTCAATTAAGTCAATCTGACTGGAATAAAATACATAGTTGGGTTTTTGACATTAGCAATGATTCTTACTTGCAATGGGTTTCAGACAAGACTAACACATAGAATATTAGCTACTAATTATCTTCTTTTGAAAATGAATTTATCTGTTACAAGTATGTGTACTTTTTGTAAATCAGAACATGAAACATTGTTACACCTTTTTTGGGAATGCTCATTTGTCAAAATATTGATTACAGAAATTATTAAAATTGTTAGGAATCATGATGCTTTATTTGATATTGATTGTAAAACTTTTATATTAGGTTATACAAAAAAGAGCCAGTCAAAGTACAATATCCTATGTCTAGAGATAAAGAAATATGTTTATTTATGTAGGAGAAAAAATATTTTACCAAATATAGATGGATTAATTAGAAGTTTTAAATTAGCCTCTTCAATTATTGATGCATGTGCAACAAATACAAAAGATAACATAATGAATTGGACAATTGTTCAAAAAATCATTTAATTCTTTTTAGAGTAATGTAAATTTATAATTTATTAATATACAGCCATTGCTTTTTGTTAAAAGTTTGAGTATAAGAAACAACAACAATGTTTTCTCTGTTCAATCTATGAGCTACCTTTCCTTTTTTTCTCTTCTTTTATTTCCCTTGTGATTTTGTTTGTATATTATTTTGTGTATGTACATTTGTATATATTATTGTGGAAATGTGAAGTTGTGATTAATACTCAATGACAATAATCAATAATTGTTACTAAATCAACAAATATTTGATACATGTGTATATATAATATGATAAATAAAATCTTTGTAAGGTATGGAGGGGGATGCCCTCGACCCCCACATACCCATGACGAGGGAAATAAAAAAAAAAAAAAAAAAAAAAGTCAAAGGCAGATAACTCGAAAATGAGAACAATGACCCCAATTTTTTTCTGTTTAAAATGTTTCTGTTATCATATTCCAACAACATGCAAAGTTTAAAAATTTTCTATTTAACAGTTTTAATTTTGCCTATATAAAAACTCCAGAAAACGCTTTAAAACAGGATTTTTAAAGGTCTTATGAACTAAGTGACTCTTAGGGACAGCAGTGATTTATCTAGATGTGCGTCTTGCGTAAAGTACGCATAAAAATCGAAAAAGACGCACAGTTTCAAAATATGTGCGTTCAATTTGACGCATGCAAATCAGGTGGTTTATAATCCAAAATATCACGATTAGTGATTTCTATGTACTGTTTGATTACTTTAATTTCATCAGTTGAATAATTTAATTTCCAATGATTACTTGTGCAAGACTTATCCCCCATTCGCTTGAAACGTTAAATCCCTGTGATCGGTAACCGCCCATTATCGGCATAAGCCAATCAGAGCGTCCATTTTGCATGAGAGCGAATCGCCTACAATGGTGAAATATGGCGCCATTGGCGCTAAAAATAAGAATGGCACAGGAAAATCGTCAGCAAAGGGCATAGGGTGCATCTTAAATCTGTACCAGACTTATATTGTATGTTATTTAGTCATCTAGACAATACTGGTACCAACATCAACAGGTTAACCATTCCCCTGTAATTACGCATATTCTTGAGTTTATCCATTTCACTGTAGCATTTTTCCAAGTTATCTACTTACCTTATCCCTTTCCCATACAGATAAGCATTTCTACTACCGTAAATTTAATCCAATAAACCAAACAAAAAATCATTAATCTACTTAATATTTTAAATAAATATCGGTAACTGAAAAAAAGTGTTGCTATTTTAAGAAATGCTGTAAGTTACAGTATAATATGACAGGTGTGTAAATTGAATTCCCCTAAGGTCACTCAAGTTCATGCGGAGTGTAAAAAAAAAAGATGTCTATTACGTCATCAGAATATTTGACAGGGTGATTAACCAATCAGGGAAACATTGTGCATGACTTTTTTTCATGGTCAAAAGGTCTGTCTGTGTATGCTTTCTACACAGAGGCATACAAGGAGCAATAAAAGTCGTCAGTAATGTATACAGTGTGATAGGGACATTTTGTGCAAATTACGAACAATTAAAATGGATAATGCACAGTATTAGACACAAGTAGTAAGAAAATATAAATTATGCAAATTAGATTTTTGAGCAGCCAATAAAAATTGTTTTGCCTGCAATTAATATTAGTACCAAAAAAAAAACTTTTTTATACACTTTAATTATTTAATCACTTGTTATAAAAACATGCAAATCATGTCAAGGATCTGCTATTAAAAAAAAAATTCTGCTAAGACGCATTTATTTTGCTACATGACTCATTGATTTTGCTAAAGGACTCATTGTTTTCAAACATGTGCGTCATCCGACGCATTGTAAAGAATTTCTAGATTAATCACTGGGACAGGGGCAGTTTTTACTCCAAAGGTTCATTATTCTAGAGAACCAAAAGGTAAGGCTCCCACGTTTACAATTTTTTGTAAATGTTTACACGATTGCTAAGAACCGAAACGACACCGTTGGAACGGTGGTACCTCTATGTACTGTATATACCATGCATTTAAGTCGCAAAATGATGACTTACTTTCTATTTTTAATACATATACAAATAAAGAATGTTCAGGGCTCATCACGATTGAGTCAGCACACATTTTCTGCCTTATATCCCCTTTTTTACTAAAAATGTATTATGTCAGGAGCAATTTTTGCACGGTAATGCTGTGTGGAGGGTTGTTAACACCAATTTTCCGTTTTTTACTTTGGAATAAACAACTAGAGTTGATAAAATCCATAATACAGGGCTGCCAACAGCAAATTGCAAAATCAGCGGAAAATACGCCGGGAGTTAAGGGGGCTACTCAAGCCCCCTTTGCAGGTCAAGGGCAGAGCCCTGGTGGGGGACCAGGGGGCGAAGCCCCCGGATTCTGATAATTTGGTATGCCCTAAAATCAATTTCCTGGACTCTGACAAATATCAGACATTTTAACAACAGACAAGAGCGACAAAGTAAACTGTAATTTGATTGGTTATTCTAAAATAGAATACCGGAAAAGACTCGATATGACCAATGAGAAAAGCGCTTACAGACGTACCATAGGCGGCTAGCGTAACGATAAAAGCCGAAGCGTGCCGGTTTTTGGGTACTGTATAAAATATGACGAATTAATTTATTGTCTTTGTCGAATTTACATCGATCTCAAAAATGACCCAGGAGCTCACGAAATCCGCGGAAAATTGGCAGCCCTGATAATAAAAGGCAATGATTAAGAAATTTTGTAGGCAATATGGTCATTTCGATTAAACTGTAAATTATCGTAAACGTTTATGAATGGAAATTGAAACAAATCTGTTTAAACGTGCAAGCCTTACCAAAAGGTGGTGCTACATGCCAAATATCTAATCTCTGGGCTTGTAGTAAGTCTCTCAAAAATCTATTTTTACCCTCTGACCTACTTATGCATCAGACTTGAATGTTTATCTGCAAATAATAATTTCTGTAAAGTTTGGCGAAAATCCTTCAGTTTTTTATTTCAAGACATTGTTGACCATGGACACTACAATCACATCCTGAGCACTTCTTGTCAAGGTTAGCTAAAAACCATACAACTTGCAAAACTACAATTACATTTTAAGTACAAAGGATGGAAATATGAAAGCCAGTTATGCAATTTTCAAGCAGACATTTGAAGTCTTTCAATATGCCACGGACTAGGGCTGTAGTTTACTCTTTATAAAGAAAATGTGGTTTAAATAAACAAATACAAAAACTAGTTTTCCTTCTTTTATCTGATAAAGACAAGTTGAACTTAGCTGTATTCTGCTCACTCAAGCCAGCTGTGATACAAATAAGAATCAATGCATCAACAGTTAGTTTGGTGGCACAAACTTATTCAGCCAAAACAATTCCTACAGCCAGATGTATGCCGGGTTTGTTACTTCCAGGTGCTGCTCGTTTACTGCCTATACTAAGCTCATCAAAGCAGGCTGTGATATGGTAAATGCAACACATCAACAACCACTTTGATGGCCTAAATAAAGACCAATTCCACTTCTTGAGTATTCCAGGTATCCTCCACTACCTCCATTTCCTGTTCATCTCCACTTTACTGATGTGCAGTGATGCTTCTGTTCCAGACTTCCTCTTCAAATTTCCTAAAAGTGATGCTTTAAAAATAACAAAAGGACTCCAAATTATTTCATTTATACTTCATTTACATCTATACATGCATCAGTAACAGACACCAGTGTAAAATATGATAACTGATGAAACAATAATGAAATAGCACTAGTCAAGTTTCTTAGAAGCTGCAAAAATGTTAAATTTTAACAATGATTAAATAAATTTGTCAACATTTTACAGCCGGTTCAATACACTTCGGACAGTTTTACCGCTAACATGCAGGTCACATTTTCAACTTTGAAGGTTATTAAGATGGGAAAACTTTCAATGTAAGAAGGCTACACAAATAGCCGCTAGGAGGAATTAATCACAGTCTATGGCACTATATTGTATGTTCAATCATCAGCATCTTCCATCTTTGGAGCCAAATAGTAGCGCAGATATCCCATATCAGCAACTTTGTATTCAACAACTGAAATTAAATTGAGCATAATGTTCATTTCATTCTAGGAATAACAAATAAGATACTAATCACAAACAAAGATCGCTACACTTGACAAATGTTAATGTAAATAAGCCTCGCAAAACATATCCTTTAAATTTTCACACGTTTTTGCTTATTGATTGCAAAACAAGTTTTTTAAACTGATGTTAATCATGTGCTCCCCAAAACTTGTATCACATGAGGAAACATCATTGTGTTTGTTTGCTTCATTCTACGCCTTTTCCCAACAGTATTTCAGTCATATAGGCAGGTAGTTTCCTAACCATTGTTCCTGGAGAGTTACACCAGTACTAAACTACCTTCCTCCGTGCTAAACTACCAAAGCATCTCCCAAGGATCAAACCCACTCCAGAGAGGTAACTGGGATTAGAAGTCATCTACAGTTACCCCTCGACCACAGAGGCGGTACAGAATAGGGTTCAAACCCATGACTCCTGTGTTGTCAGGTAAGTTCTGAATAGGCTGTCAGTCCCTACTTTCCTAGGCTAGAGAACAATGATAAAGCTAATAATTGTTAACCATACTATGGAACTTCAAATCTTTAAAACAAACAAACACAGGATTATAAACAGGTAAATTACCTAAAGGTACATCAGCAGACATGGAGAGAGTGACCTGCTGCGAGAGTGGAGAAGCTTTGGAGAAATAGTTGAGGTAGCGAAGAGCAAATGTCAAGGTCACTGCTTGTGTCATTTCAATAATTACCGCCTCTTCTTCCTTATCAGAGCTGCAGTTTTGCGCGAGCTTAATATTGCCTGAAATAAACATTAGTGTCTTATTATTTCTGCCTCCATTCATAAAGAATTATTGTTTTCAACAACTGCTTAATATAGATTCGAATCAAAATGTAGTCAATGACCTAATTATTACTTGACTAAACATGGTTTGTCCTAAATCAAGGCATATTTGAATACAATTTTTCTCTCTTAAATACCTAGTTGACGAAAAACAAAAGGACTACATTTACAATTGCAATATTGCTCTTATTTTCATAATTAAAAGCATCCCTGGCCAGATCATAAGACAGGAAAAAATACTTCAATATCCGGAAATCGGATTTATCAATTAACATAACATGCAAGTTTAAAGCATCTTTAAATGTAAACTTTGACTTTTCTATAATGCAAAAGAATGTTACCTGTTCCCAAGTCACCACTTGCAGAAAATTTTACCCCTTCTTTTGTACAACAAATGACAACAGATTCTCCAATCTGACTTAAATCTCTGCATATTCTTGCAAACTCTCCAGAGGGCATTTTCACAACACAACTATATTCAGTTTCCTAAAAAAAAAACAACGAACACACAATGGTTATAATACAGTATTAATACTAGGCAAGTTCCATATGAATGCAATCACAACTTTAAGGTTACTGAAGCTTAAGTTTGAAACCTTTACAATGCAATAAAATTTGTCAATTTCCACATGTTATAAATGCCAGTTTTAATTAAATAATTACTTACAGGAATTCCTAAATGCTCTGCATCAATGTCCAAGAGTCTAATTTCATAGTCGGATACTTTCTCATTGTCTGAAATAAAACAACAAAACAATTCTATTTTTCCATCTTGTACAGTAAAGCATTTGTTTTTATAAATCTGCAGCAAGAGCTTTTTTGTTTGTTTGTTTCATTTTACGCCTTTTTCAACAGTATTTCAGTCATATAGGCGGGTAGTTTCCTAACCATCGTTCCTGGAGAGTTACACCAGTACTAGACAACCTTCCTCCGCGCTAAACTACCAAAGCATCTCCCGGGGATCGAACCCACGCCAGAGAGGTACCTGGATTAGAAGTCATCGACTCTAACCCCTCGGCCACGGAGGCGGACCCTGCAGCAAGAGCAACGGCCAGTAAAATGTCAGTGATTTAAGTGTCACAAAGTGATCTTGTGATAAGTAACTGATTATTTCCCTGTGAAGCGATATTTATATTCATAATTGATTAGAAATACAAATGTATAGTAAAAATCCTGCCGCCTTTATTAATGAAATGAAATTAAGAATTTAAGATACATTAACATTATTGAACTTACTTGGAGACTCGAAGACAAATGTTACTGTATCAGCATCATCTCCTGTTTTCAAAGTGATAACATCATCATTTCCAGCACACCTGATAATCTTTGCCATGCTAAAAAAATACAGGAACTACTTTAACAAAATTGAAGACAACAGATCGAAAATTCCATTCGACCTTTCTATTATGAGAGGAATTTAACAGTACTCGATGCAGGACAAGTAGAAACATATTGTCTAGACATTTGTATTTAGAAGCTACTCGTCCTGCAGGACCACCGACTCTGAAAATCTTTCAGAAACGGGCCAATACTAAATTGTTCTTTCTGTTTCCTTGTTTAAATGCGAATAAGAGCACATAATAAATGGCCAACTTCTCTTTCTTGCATTATTCCGTGACAATTTTCTAAACAAGCTACCAATTTCCATTTATCCTACTGCTGATTCTTGTTATTTTGGCGATGTTATATATTTTTGCTTACTTTTCTCATGCATTTGTATAAAATTATGGGAATAAGGTCAGCTTTTTCCAGTCGCCTACAAATACTGCACTTGACACGAATAAATGTAATCAGGCCTAAATTTTACTAAATAAATCATAAAATACAACTGCTTTAATCTGGCCAATCTGCATTCAAGACAAAAACTAAAAATGTATGCACCAATCTTCAAATCTATTCACGAATTCGAAAACCTAGCTAAACGCCGTTTTCCGGTACTTTCTGTACATAGCTCTGGGGAATTCACCCAATGGAGTGTAATAGCGAACTCGATGTTTTCGGCATTTTTTAAAATCAAATTGAAATAAAGTAATTATTTCTTTATAAGAAAATAATTAGATATCATTGTATGAATAATTCCATACAAAAAATAAAGTAAATACACAAGTTAACGCAGAAAAAAACCTTATTTATTATGGAAGATTCCACTACGTCTGTTTGAATTTTATTGATTTTCATTATAAACAATTTATTTTTTTGAATAATTTGGAATAGATATTAAAGGAATATTGATAATTTTCAAAAACATCAATTTTTTCACCTTAAACGGTTAAATAATGATAGAAAAATCGAAATATCACGTAACTGTGTTATGTACTTCATTTGATGTAATTCCCCAGAGCTAAAACGGTAACGTACCGGAAAACAGTGTTTAGCTAGGTTTTCGAAAAGGTCAATGGTAAGAATAAGAAAATTATGCAATGTTGAACATTTCTGATATAGATCTAGCTCTACTTTTCATTTTGAACCTTACTTTATTACTTTCCTTGTACATCTGCATCATATTTATATTAAAGTACCAAGGTTACCGTCAAAATTGAAAGCTAAACCTAAACTAACAATAAAATGCTAATTTAAGTAGTGTAACCTACTTTTGTTTACGTTAACAAATATGGCGGGAAATAAATTACCTTCCTAAATTTATCCCCATAGATAAATTTCGGTCACATCTGTATGTATCAAATCCTTCACTCCGCATATTCAACGATACCAAACTGACATGAGAACTATCCATAGCCTGTAAAGTGATTCCACTTGCATTGCAGTCCCATTTTGCTTCGTTCAGCAAATCTTTGATGGCATCTATTATTTTCTTCCACAAAGAACCTTGCACTAATCTTGCCTCAAACATGTTGTAATGAATAAATAAAATGATAAATACAAAAAATAAAATGTATTAAATTTATCACAATCTTCCAAAAACTTCAAAGTCCAAATAGAGAGCCGATGATTGCAGATTTGCTTCTGTTTCCTTTCTTTCCAAGTTGCTGATATCCGCGCAATCTTTCCCGCCAGTATATTCGGCGCGATTCGATCGATCGATGAATTTGATTGGTTCAACTTTACACAATTATTTCACGCGAGAGTATGTGAGATATATTCGGAATTCTTCGCAAGTTAACCTTGGTTGACGAGAAATGGAGAAAAAACAACAACAACAAAAGTAAATAAAACGGTAATTATCCGATAATAACAAATTTAACCATATATAGTAAGAAAGGGTACCTAAATCTTTATTAATGGTTAATGCATATTCGACATCACTTAAAATTTGACCTTGCTCACTCATCATGCTCATTAACTTCTAATTTGCTTTGAAATTTGGTCAAATACATTTTTGTGAATTCAATATTCTTTTTATACCCTATAGAATATTAGATTGGTAGTATGTCTACTGCATAGCGCCTGTGTTTGAGGCTGTGATATTACGGTATTAACATTTTCTGTGATTGCAAGTAAAAACAACACACGATGGTGCTAATATTTTTAAAACTGGCTCATTAAATTCATTTTCATCTGCCAATAAATTTAATTTTGTGAATAATTTATGTATTTGGAGGAAGAAAACTATTTTATAAAATCTTCATATTTGACTATTATTTCGCATACTTGTTTTTACACAGTCTATAAACATGTTACAATCACATATACTGACATGTGTGTGTTCATATAGTTTGAATATTATAGCAAGTTAACTGTTTGAAGTTTTTCACAACTTAACTTGAAGAGTTTGATCCATCTATCATTCCAAACTTGCATATTTGGGGATACCACAGAAGCCTCCTTTTTATTTACCCAGAATGGTAGACATTAGAAATAGTTTTAAAAATGACATTTTTAATTTTATTGTTTCTTTTGAAATAATTTTTTGACAAACAGTTTTGGAAAAAGTTCACTTATTAAATAGGAGAAAAATCTCCTTTATATATGATATTTATATCTGAATATTTTCCGATAAATGTTAAGTACCTTGATATCATGGAACCCCGGGCTACCTATCAATGAAATTTTCAGTGTCAGTTCTAGTTGGGCGCCGCCATTTTCAATGTAACTCAATGATAATGATTAGGCGGGGTATTCCGATACCTTTCAGGTGTTTTGGAAGTGGTTCATGAAATAATTAATTACTCCTTTAAAACAAAAAAATGAATGATTTTTTTAACCGACATAGTTCATAGGCTTTGTCTAATTGCATATTCATATTATGTTGCTGTTATTTTGAAGTTGTGCGACAGTAAACAGGTCTTACAGTTCTATAAAACCTGTTCACTGAAGTCTCTTTAGCTACTAACAGGTATCCTACAGGTATAATTAATGCTATCTCTAAAGGATGTTATTTGGCATTTAAAAAAACGTTTGACAGAACTTTACAATAGGATGTTTTCGGTCTTTATTATCAAATTTGAAAATGTTTTGATTATAATGCATTGTTAGGAAAAATAAGTGTATAAGAATAAAGATTTTTAAAAAGTGTACATTACCTCTTTAGTCTGAAACAAATTAATATCAATACAAAAATACAAAATATCTCAAACATTCTTCTAATAAAAAATTTTTTTTTAACTAAGTTTTAACATACCTTAATTCAAATCCGCAATTAAGTCATCTATCAGACTCAGTAAAGAAAAAGAGATGTTCTTGCTGTGCTGCCTTCACATTTCAGCTACCTTTATTGCCTGTTGTTTGCAGTTTGGTCTCCCCTAATTTGCCCTATGTGGTATATTTTCATCCCTTATATACACATGAACATGCATTTTTTTTATCAGTATATTACTTAACAGTGATTATAGTAAAATTCTATATGCTTGATTAAATCAGTGGCTTCACATGCATACAAAAGAACTTGTTAATTATAATATGGCCAACTGTCAAAATTGTTTGTTTCCTGTAATGATAATAATAGTGTCACAAAATTAATAAATTAACTGCACTAATAAACAGATGCTAAGATGATTATCTCAATTATCAAGTGTGAAAATTATTTGCTCTGAGATATATTTTTTATCTCGAAATCTAGTAGATAAATAAAAATCAGATATTAAACATAAAAAATATGTAAAGTTTTAGGGGACATGTTGATTATGGGATGAGGTGACTAAGAGATGAGATCTGTAAAAACAAATGTATGAGAGGTAGAATTCAAGCAATCCAAGTTTAGACCTGTTTGGCTAAATTGTTTGGTGACCAGTTGAATCCAAAATGAACATAAAGGGAGTGAATTGAAATGTTATCTAGGCACAAGATATACAGAATTTACAAAATGTAAGAACAGGGCTTCCATTAATGGAATTTTGGGAGTTATTTACTCCCTGATTTTGGCTTGTGACTTCCAAAATTGAATGCTTTTCCTTCTTAACCTATTATTTAATGTGACTTCCAATGTCAGACATTTTGCAGTCTCTGACTTCCAGATTTTGGAACTTAATGGAAGCCTTGTAAGAAATGTTCAGTACTTGCTTATATCATTAAAAAAATAAACAGAGGTTTATGTTATGATATAATTAATCATTTGGCACCTGAATTCTTTCTAAGTTAGGGACCGTAACCTGTTTAGTTGGAAGAAACTTAAAGAAAGCTATGTGACCTTTTTTGGACTGATGTGGCTGAGAAATACTTTCATACAAAAAACGATGAAAAGAACTTGTAAACATTCAAAAACATTGATTTTCATATTTTATAAATATTTTAATATTTTCTTTTTACAGAATGTCATAAAAAGTGGAAAATCTTTATTGAGTTATAAGATGGCAGTTGCTGGACTTGGGAAGACAGGATTCCTGCTTATTCCCAGACATTTGCCAGCTGTGGCAACAGGATCTCATAGATGTTTATGTTTAACATCTATATCTGCAAGCTCAAACAAATTGAGACTCAATTATCGTGAAAATGGCATATACAAGCATAAATACATTAACGCACCAACATTTTTATACATGCTTGTTAGAAACATGTCCGTTACAAGAAAAACAAGTTACACGGATTTTGGACACAAGAGAATGCCATTCGCATGGAAGACATTTTTTTATGTCCTTTTCATGGTATCAGTTGGAGTAGCGACTTGCATAAGGAAAAAAGAGGATGTGTAAGTTCTTTCCGTTACTTTTATCACACCTTTTATCAATAATAATAATACTGAGTTAGTCAATGATCTTTTTTGTTAAATCGTATACATATACATGCACCGTGCGTTAACTGGAGTGCAGGTATTAGTTACCCGCACTCCAGAGCATGCCCATTGATTGGCTCATTTTTGCTAGAGTTTACTTATTGTGACGGCAGAGAAAGTGAAAGCGACAGAAATGTCAAATTTAGATGCTCGTTCATTGGTTACTTTTCTCCGGAGTTTCATATTGTGACAACAGGGAACGTGTTTTTATGTTTGACTATGAAACAAAAGAGAAAGAACATCAAAACACTTGGCAATCTGATTTATACTCGGGGGCTATGCCCCCTCGTATAAATCAGATAGCCTTGTGTTTCAATGCTCTTTCTATTACTTAGAAGTTTGATTTTTTTAGTTTAAAGAAATCATAACAATGGGAATAACACACCCTCCAGTATTATGCTTCCAGATAAAGAAAAAAACTTTCTAACAAATCACTTAAACAAAAGATTAATTTTGATTCTAAGAGATCCATATTGTAACTCCCTTTAACTTATATTTTATCCTTTGCACATGCAATTTATCTTTGATTAGTTATGGTCACACAGTATCTGAGTTAGAAGGTGACAAAAATGTGGAGATAGAGGAAAAAGAAAAGGAAAAGGAGAAAGAAACAGAAAAGGAAGGAAAGAAAAAGAAGAGAATTGGATTTCATGATAAAAGAGTATGTTTTAATGATTTTAGATATATTTATCTACAGTCAGTTTATACAGCATTTGTAACTCCTGTTTGACTCAAGTAAGACGTTGCTTAAAAAAAAACTGACAGAGTGTGCAAAATAATGCATTTGATCTTGAACTTAAGAATTCATTTTGATGTTTGAAAGTGATTTTTGTTTTTTAACTTATTTATAAAACTCACAAATTCAGTTGGGTTAGAGGTGAATTACCGTGAAAGAAAAGTATAATGATTCATACTTTTAAAATTGAGAAAGACACCATTGAATTTTTACTATATGTACTCTTGTCATTTTAGATGATAGAGTATGAAAACAGAATACGTGCATACTCCACCCCTGATAAGATATTTCGTTACTTTGCAACACTCAAAGTACACAGTAGTGGTGAGTGGGAAGTTTTCATGACACCTGAAGACTTTGTCAGGTCTATAACGCCTGGGATGCTTCAGCCGGAAGGTACTGATAGTTTCATTTTCTCATTTCAAAATTCTAAAATTAATAAATGTTTTGTATTGAAATGAAAATATACTATCCAGTATCAGAGCTTCCATTAGGTTTCAACATTTGGAAGCCTGAGACTGCAAATTGTCTGACTTTGGAAGTCACATTATATAGGTAAAGAAGGAAAAGCATTATATTTTGGAAGTCACAATCCAAAATCGAGAAGTAAATGACTCCCAAACTTCCACTTATGGATGCCCTGCAGTATTGAGAAAAGTGGAATGTGCTGTCAATAGACAGTTCTTGTTAAGTTAGAATGATAATTTTCAGAATTATTGCTTAACATAGTGGGATTTTTTTTTAAAGTAAGCGTAACTTTGAACCAACATGTCATTTAATATTTCAGTTGTGTAACTTTATGCAGGGGTGCTTGGCCGAGTGGTAACGGTCATTGACTTTAAACCACTTGCCTCTTACTGCTGTGGGTTCGAATCCAGAAAGGGACTTTGGATTCTTCCATGTGAGGAAGCTATCTAGCTAACTTACAGACTGTTGGTGGTTCTGCTCAATGCCCATTTGTGCTTGAAATATTGCACGGAAGGCCATCTGAGATCCAACCAGAAAACAAAAGTTACTTTAGGAAAATTTATGATAATAGATTGATTTTTCATTTTCAGGTCTTGGACTTGACCAGTTTAAGAAGTTTGACCCTCAGGTTTGTATATGTATAGATATATTATAGATATATTCTGTAATCTATTTCTGTCTCGGTTCTGGGTCTGTACGCATGTTTGTATACAAGACAGAATTGTAAAAATAGTGAAACCCATATACTCAACAGCTGGTTGTATTTAAACCTCATATGTTTAAGTCTTATGGCTCAAGTGCTTATTGTGTATCTGATATATTCACATAGATATTGTTTAAGTTACTTTTTAGTAAATGCTCAAAATTTTGGTATGGTCAGTAGATGAAATGAACAGTATTATATATATGATATTTTGCCTTCGAGACTTCATATTATTTTTTTTTGTCTGTTAAAGTGAATGTTTGTTTGAATTGTTGCTGTGTTTGTACAGTTTGTTTTGAATTGTAGGAACATTTTTAGATTTTTGATTTATTTGCTGAATCTTACATGTAATCTGTTATTAAAGATATCATATACATGCATCATGCTTTCACTTGTGATTGGTAGTTTTAAAAATAGAATATCTAAAAATAGATAATCTGAAATAACATGTGTAGTTACATGCATGATATTGACATTGAGGTTTATATATTTTTGTTAAATCGGTGGGTACCCGAGGGACGGTTATTTCAATCTGAACCGCAGACATAAGACAGATATTTTTTCTTGCATTGTCTGCCGTATTCTTTCGTATATACAATCATTTACCTTAATAAGATTTGTGTTCATAGATAGAATGCATAAAATATTTAACCATCTTTTTGTTGTCAGTAATAAATCAAGACTGGGAGAGAAATGGTTGTAACTAATATAAAATCATAAGAAACAATCTAGTTATTCTTTTGCAGTATAATAATATATTATATTAATCTGTTCCTTGCGATGAATTTCTTGTGTTTTAGAAGCTTTCACTACAAAGTAGTTTACCCATTCTTTTGTTTCGCTGCACAGATTGTTTGATTGATGAATTGATTGATTTATTAAATTTGTTGAACATGTTTTGTTTGATAGATTGATTCACGATACATTAGCTTCAGTGTAGATTGTTTTATTTGTGTGGTTTGCTTGTAAATGCTTTATACCAAAATAGTGAAACTTAAGTTAGACAGTGGTAGGTCGTAATAGTTGTTATCCTGAACTTGGCAATTGTGGGTTTTTAAGCTTATCCTTCATTACAAACAAACTTTTTCTGTTATAGCTTCACAGTGCACATCTGTTCACAATAGACTAGTCAACCTGTTGCATGTGTTTTTTCAAAGGTGTAACTGTAAAAGTTTGTTTGTACCCTCGGATTTGCTGCGAAAATCTAAAATATTTTTTATTTCGGAAAAAAGTCTATTACACTTTACTCATTTTAAATGTAAATATACCTGTAGTTTAGGGGAAGGTCTCAATTAGAAAGAGTAAAAAGGGGAGGTAATTTGCATAGATCCAGTAGAATCTATAGTAACTGAATGACAATGTGACATTGTTGTTGGTGGTATTGACTGGTTATAGTTTTCATGCTTATATGATAATTTTAAGCCTTTTTATATTAATATAACTTTTCAGGTTTCTTTCTTTCGAAAAGTATCTTAGTTTAGTAATTTCAAAATGACAACAAAATATTTGCTTATCAATTTCAAATGTCATATAAAATATTTTTATGCATACAAAAATTTTTTTGTTTTAAAGAAATTTTTTTTTTTAAAGAAGGATATAGCATTGTATCTGTTGTAAAATGTGCTCACATAAAACTAAATATTCACTTCACTTTTGCTACATAGAAGGAAAGCATTGCGGATTTGGTAAGTGGCGCTTGCATCAGTGTCTTTTTTTATCCATTTTTTCTTACAAACAAGTCTTTTGGCAGATTCTCAACCTTGACCTTCAAATTTAATGTCTAATTGTTTAATTTACCAGTCGCCAAATGACAGTATGCTCCGCCCACTTTGTCACACGACCAAAAAAAACAATACTTCAGTGTCTTTGATCTTAATTTTCAGCGTACAGATACAATTCTCGGGCGTAATTTAAGGCCATATGCCCATTAACAGAAGCCCTGACCTCTGAAAACTACATGATAACCATAGAGAAAATGTAATGATGTTTGGTTAAATGGGAATAAAAGTTTTTAGAGTAGTGAGGCCTATATTCTTTATGTTTAACTAAATATAAGAAGAAAACAAGTATTTAAGTCTAGTTGTACTTTTAAGGAGCCAGCCTAACAAAATAGCAGGAGTAAAATAAAAAAAAACCTTTGCTCTTGCATTTACTTAGATTTGCCTCTTTCTACCTTAGATCTAGCTAAGAACTGCAGGTTACTTACTGTTTGTTGACCTCATTTTAGTATATTTTTAGATATAAAAATTTGTTTATGTATTGAGATTTTACTGGCATGAACAATAGTATAAGTAATCACATTGTCCTAGCAAAAGAAGTTGATTATCAGTTTTGTTAAATTGACACATGGCGACTGGTTAATTAAGTAAAGACTGCCAATTAAATTGAGGGTCTACAGAAATGAAATGTTGTCCTGAAGGATCAATTTTTTCCTTCGCTTAATGAAGGCGGGAAAAAAAAGAAAATTAAAAGAATGAACCTTAACCAGTTATGAATGAATTTTGATTATGGACTAGATTAATATTTACATGTACTATGTACAACTGATGTCATTACCTAAGGTTATAAGCATTCAGATTTTGAGAAAAACATGCTGATTTACATTTATTGGAGTGTTAAAAGTTTCAAGTTTTCAAGTTTTTTCCTGCATAATTTTTAACCTTTTTTTGTATCATTCAGCACATATTTTGAATTTGTTATTCATTAATTTTACATCTTTTAGTTTTATAGTCATGCCAAAATTTATTCGTAAAGTAATAATTTAGCTTACAGTTATTAATCTGAAAGATTTAAAGATAAAATAATACTAAGGGGTGATTGTCCTTGATCAATAAAACTGGAAGTTCACCTTTTGACCTTTGCAAGTATCAGTATGACCTAAAATCAAACAAAACAAATATATTTATAAGAATAAATCAGCATTGTTTTACCTTGGTAACATCTTTACCTCAGTGCAGGACTAACATATCATGAGTTTTTCACTGCAGTGGTAAAGTGTTACAATCCTGAATGCTCATTACCAGTAAAACACAGTTGAAATTGAACCGAAAATACTGTTAATGTTTTAAATATAATTTGATATAATAACATATACATGCATCCATATTAGCGTACAAGTGTACTTTGATTCAATGTTGTTCAAACTTCCCAAATGCACTCTCTGTCACACACAGGCATGCTCCCATACCAAGTACAGCAGCGTTGCTGGCATTCTCCCTGGATGCTCATATGATACCTGTCTTGAATTGGCTTTTGTTATTTCAGACGCACACGCACACAGTAAAGATATCATGATAACTTACCAATAGTTTTTGATAATAATTATGATTTCCATGTAAATTGAAGACGAAGCCTTCATTGGTCTTAATGTAGTTGTTAAGAAGTGAATTCAGTATAGGTAAAGTTTGCTCTAGTGGTCTCAGTACTCTAATAAAGTTCTGATAAGAACATTACATTATCCTATGATAGGATCTGCTAAATTTCTTGCCCTTCAATCATATAGTGTTAAAATGTGTACAAATTAATTGCTTATTTATACAGGTGTACTCAGTTTTTTAAACTAATTTACTAAATGTGTTAATAAGTAGTGTCTCAATAGGATTGTATATTTGAGCCGCGTCACGACGAACCAACATAGTGTGTTTGCGACCAGCATGGATCCAGACCAGCCTGTGCATCCGCACGGTCTGATCAGGATCCATGCTGTTCGCTTACCAACCCTATTACAAGTAGAGAAACTGATAGCGAACAGCATGGATCCTGATCAGACTGCAAGGACGCGCAGGCTGGTCTGGATCCATGCTGGTCGCAAATGCACTTTGTTGGACTTGTCGTGACGCGGCACATTTACACAGTTAAATTCTCATGTTTTTGTATTGTAGTTTTTTTTTACTGCTGTGAATTGTAATCAGTAACTCTAGTCGGCAGTTTGCTGTCACAGAAAATCTGTAGTACCGTAACAAGTAAACACATGTACAATGTATATCAAACACTGAGTCATTTAGGATAATGTGCACATTTGATTAATTGGTAGAGGCATAGTGGGGGTTTTTACCCCTCAGACATTTTGCAAACATAATGTTTAACTATCATAAATACCCAAAAGGTAAAAGTTTGGATGCTTGCATAATAATGATCATGATCAATTGACAAAGCTACGGTATGAGCTTAAGATTTTACATAGGTTTGTTTTTGAAACTAAACTGGACAGATCCTGATCTTTCCACTGGCGTTCAGCACATTTGTCTTGCCAATAATGGTCAATTATCCTAAAATAATCTCCTTGTTCATCATGAACAAGGTTACTATCCAGCACCCCCGTTTACTTTGTATAATAGTATAATTTTGTTCATGATGATCAAGGGGAGATTATTTTATGATAATTTGACTATCATTGGCAAGGCAAAGTGCTGAACGCCCTCGGATCTTTCACTTGAAAATCTTAGTTTTAATTTAAAATTTGGATCCCATCTTATAAAATATCTGTCCTATTATAGATGAATAAAAGTGAATAAGTATGCTAAATTGTATGTAAAAATAATTGTATTATAATTGTTGTCTATTCTTATATTGTAGTTAGCAGATTTGTTAAATTATCTTTAATTCTTTTCAATTTTCATATGCTGTTAATAAGAAAAATGTGCAGATTTATATGGGGCATATTTGAATACCATGTTTTCTTTATGATATATCTAGATACATTATTATAGAGGAGATTATCAGTTTTTATGATCTTGTTTATTTCATTATTTTTGCATATATGATTTTTATCTATACAATTATCTCATATACTTCCTTAAAATTACAAACATGTAAAGATATATTAAATACTTTGATGTTGTTTTTATTTTTGCTAGATTAAATATTTAGCTTTTTTTATTTTGGAAGCTCCTTCATTTGTTTTCTTGTATAAAAAAGCAACAACAAAGAACAAACATGTCATTAACTTGAAACAAAATTTGATACTTTTTTTGCATGACCTTTGTGAAAAGTTGAACTCCAGTGCATTTAGAACTTTAGGTATTGCCTAAAATTACAAGATTGCATTTACTTGATGTTGGTCACAAGTTGTATATTTGTGACAGCTTCGCAAAGAGTCAGGATGCTTGTCAACTTAATTCTATCTTCTTTTTTTTTTTAATTTCCATTTTGGATTTCTAGCAATAATGAAGAAAAGGATTGACAAGATTTTTTTCTATTGCATGAAATCCTACATGTTTGTAAATGTAAAAAGAAATAAATTGAATTCATACATGTATGGCCTGGTCTAACTAAGATGTCTTTGCTAAAATTGCATGCTAGATTTCTATTGTTGTCTTTGATATATACAATTGATACAGGTTGCCAGTCATGTGTTACGATGTAATATAAAGTAGTGAATAGCTTAGATTTTAAAGAAAAGCATTGATAGTAAATTACCCATATTTTCAGCTTTTTTTTCAATACAAAATATGGATATGAAGTCATATATAGATTGATATACTGATAAGAAATCAATTTAAAAAGTTTTTCTATCATTTCAGAAGCGTCAGATGGTAGGTTTTGTTTTGGGTGGTTTGAGTTTTTCAATTTTGAATGATTTACTGACCGTTAATTTTATGCCCTCCTCCCCCATCAAACTAGATGTAGGAGGAGTTTTGCTTTGCTCATGTCTATTGGTTAAGTTGTAGACTTAATGGTACTTAATTTAGAAGTTGATTAAATAAGACCAAAAAACTAAAAGTTCAAGGTTAATGACTGTATGATTTCAGTATTTTATTTCATAATATATGCCATTTTTGGGATATCATGATTTTCAAATAAATAAGATCACTATTATAAAATTACATTGACAACCTTTATCTTGGAAATGCCTGCTACATTTTGGAAAGCAAAGTATCTTTGTACATCATAATTATTTATTTAGATTGACATAATTATGTCTGTCACAAGCTGTTCATTTTTCATGTTCATGCGGAAAATTTGGGGTTTTCATGTTAGAAAATAGGTTAGTACAGGTGCAAAATCTTAGGGAACAAGTGTTTTATGTTAAATCAGTTTGGCACTAAAATACAAATACAAATAGCCATTGTTATTAATGAAATACATGTACCTAATTTTTCCAAGTAACTACCTACTTATTACTAAATTAAAATAGGCTATCATACATACATACATGGCAAAATGAATGGCATACAAATACTGTTTATTTTATGTTTTTATTAAATAGATAGACTGCTAATAACTGTTGTTCATGATGCTTTATACAATTTAAGTTGCAGCTAATATTTCACTATTAAATTGTTGTTCAGTTATTATAACTAATAGAAAATTTTCCATTTTAATACCCTCTTACCTTGTAAAGAAATAATCTTCTGGCAGATTCAGAAGTGGCCTCAAATTTTCAAGATTGTTATGAAACAAAACTTTGTTATATGTTAAATATCATAAGCTATCAACACTAATAGCAAGATGGTTGAACTGGTTTATTGTGCAATTTGAAAGAAATCAGAGTTTGAGAAACCTACTGTATATATTTGTATTTCAAGTTTCTGCATGTTGTTTTTAAGCAATGCATACCAGAGGACACAGTGACCCCTTCTCACTCAATGTTGTTTGCTTGACATTTTCACTCATAAGATCCCTTTTTGAGGAATATTTTATTTTATTTTTAGCTCAACTATTTTAATTAAAAGTGGGACTTTCATCCTCAGCCCTACATTTGGCTTGATGTAACATTTGTATAAAGTTTTGCTTGAAACATATTTTCTTGTTTATCATGTTCGGCTCTTTGGAGTCATAATTTTTGGTTACCGAAATAGACCTATAACTCTAACATGGGATTTTTATGCATTATTTCCCTTTATGACATGGCTCACTATGAAATTCTGAGAATAGTTCAGCAAGCTTATAGTCCTGTGACAGTTCCTGTTTTATGGTATTTTGTACAAAGATGTAAAAGTTTTCATTTAAGTTATTGCTATTTCAAAATAAATTTCATATAGAACATTAAATTTGAGTTTAATATTACGAAAATCCCAAATTTTGTTTCTGATGTGTACCGCCTCTGTGGTCGAGGGGTTCGAGTCGATGACTTCTAATCCAGTTACCTCTGTGGCGTGGGTTCGATCCCCGGAAAATGCTTTGGCAGTTTAGCGCTGAGGAAGGTAGTCTAGTACTGGTGTAACTCTCCAGGAACGATGGTTAGGAAACTACCCGCCTATATCACTGAAATACTGTTGGGAAAAGGCGTAAAAATTTAAAAAGTTTTTCTATCATTTCAGAAGCGTCAGATGGTAGGTTTTGTTTTGGGTGGTTTGAGTTTTCCAATTTTGAATGATTTACTGACCATTAATTTTATGCCCTTCTCCCCCATCAAACTAGATGTAGGAGGAATTTTGCTTTGCTCATGTCTATTGGTTAAGTTGTAGACTTAACGGTACTTATTTGTAAGGTGATTAAACAAGACCAAAAAACTAAAAGTTCAAGGTTAATGACTGTATGATTTCAGTATTTTATTTCATAATATATGCCATTTTTGGGATATCATGATTTTCAAATAAATAAGATCACTATAAATTACATTGACAACTTTTATCTTGGAAATGCCTGCTACATTATTGGAAAGCAAAGTATCTTTGTACATCATAATTATTTATTTAGATTGACATAATTATGTCTGTCACAAGCTGTTCATTCTTCATGTTCATTCGGAAAATTTGGGGTTTTCATGTTAGAAAATAGGTTAGTTCAGGTGCAAAATCTTAGGGAACAAGACTAGTGTTTCATGTTAAATCAGTATGGCACTGAAACATACAAATACAAATTGCCATTGTCATTAATGAAATACATGTACTTAATTTTTTCAAGTAATTACCTACTTATTACTTAATTAAAATAGCCTATCATACATACATACATGGCAAAGTGAATGGCATACAAATACTGTTTATTTTATGTTTTTATTAAATAGATAGACTGCTAATAACTGTTGTTCATGATGCTTTATACAATTTAAGTTGCTGCTATAATTTTCACTATAAAATTGTTGTTCAGTTATTATAACTAATAGAAAATTTTCCATTTTACCCTCTTACCTTGTAAAGAAATAATCTTCTGGCAGATTCAGAAACTAATATTGAATGTGGCCTCAAATTTCCAAGATTTGTTATGAAATATAACTTTGTAATATGTTAAATTTCTCAAGCAATCAACACTAATAGCAAGATGGTTGAACTGGTTTAATGTGCAATTTGAAAGAAATCAGAGTTTGAAAAACATACCGTATATATTTGTATTTCAAGTTTCTGCATGCTGTTTTGATGTTTTTAAGCAATGCATACCAGAGGACATACTGACCACTTCTCACTCAATGTTGTTTGCTTGACATTTTCACTCATTAGATCCCTTTTTGAGGAATATTTTATTTTATTTTTAGCTCAATTATTTTAACTAAAAGTGGGACTTTCATCTTCAGCCATACATTCGGGTTGATGTAACATTTGTATAAAGTTTTGCTTGAAACATATTTTCTTGTTTATCATGTTCGACTCTTTGGAGTCATAAATTTAGGTTACTGAAATAGACCTATAACTCTAACATGGGATTTTTATGCATTATTTCCCTATATGACATTGCTCACTATGAAATTCTGAGAATAGTTCAGCAAGCTTATAGTCCCCTGACAGTTCCTGTTTTAAGATATTTTGTACAAAGATGTAAAAGTTTTCATTTAAGCTATTGCTATTTCAAAATAAATTTCATATAGAACATTAAATTTGAGTTATTACGAAAATCCCAAATTTTGTTTCTGATGTGTACCGCCTCCGTGGTCGAGGGGTTAGAGTCGATGACTTCTAATCCAGTTACCTCTGTGGCGTGGGTTCGATCCCCGGGAAATGCTTTGGCAGTTTAGCGCTAAGGAAGGTAGTCTAGTACTGGTGTAACTCTCCAGGAACGATGGTTAGGAAACTACCCGCCTATATCACTGAAATACTGTTGGGAAAAGGCGTAAAAATTTAAAAAGTTTTTCTATCATTTCAGAAGCGTCAGATGGTAGGTTTCGTTTTGGGTGGTTTGAGTTTTTCAATTTTGAATGATTTACTGACCATTAATTTTATGCCCTCCTCCCCCATCAAACTAGATGTAGGAGGAATTTTGCTTTGCTCATGTCTATTGGTTAAGTTGTAGACTTAACGGTACTTATTTGTAAGTTGATTAAACAAGACCAAAAAACTAAAAGTTCAAGGTTAATGACTGTATGATTTCAGTATTTTATTTCATAATATATGCCATTTTTGGGATATCATGATTTTCAAATAAATAAGATCACTATAAATTACATTGACAACCTTTATCTTGGAAATGCCTGCCACATTTTGGAAAGCAAAGTATCTCTGTACATCATAATTATTTATTTAGATTGACACGTCTGTCACAAGCTGTTCATTCTTGATGTTCATGTGGAAAATTTGGGGTTTTCATGTTAGAAAATAGGTTAGTACAGGTGCAAAATCTTAGGGAACAAGTGTTTCATGTTAAATCAGTTTGGCACTGAAACATACAAATACAAGTAGGCATTGTCATTAATGAAGTACTAAATTTTTCCGAGTAATTACCTACTTATTACTGAATTAAAATAGACTATCATACATACATACATAGCAAAGTGAATGGCATACAAATACTGTTTATTTTATGTTTTTATTAAATAGATAGACTGCTAATAACTGTTGTTCATGATGCTTTATACAATTTAAGTTGCAGCTAATATTTCACTATAAAATTGTTGTTCAGTAATTATTACTAATTCCATTTTACCCTCTTACCTTGTAAAGAAATAATCTTCTGGCAGATTCAGAAACTAATATTAAATGTGGCCTCAAATTTTCAAGATTTGTTATGAAATATAACTTTGTTATATGTTAAATATCATAAGCTATCAACACTAATAGCAAGATGGTTGAACTGGTTTAATGTGCAATTTGAAAGAAATCATAGTTTTAAAAACATATATATTTTTATTTTAAGTTTCTGCATGCTGTTTTGATATTTTCAAGCAATGCATACCTAAGGACACTGACCCCTTCTTACTCAATGTTGTTTGCTATACATTTTCACTCATAAGATCCTTTTTTTTTTGAGGAATATTTTGTTGAATTTTTAGCACAACTATTTTAATTAAAAGTGAGGCTTTCATCCTCAGCCCTACATTCAGGTTGATGTAACATTTGTATAACGTTTTGCTGGCAGCTTATTTTCTTGTTAAACATTTAAGGTATTCAGCTCAACAAGACCAGTAACTCTAGCATGGAATTTTTATGCATTATTTCCCTTTATGATACTGCTCACTTTGAAATTATGAGAATAGTTGAGCAAGCTGTCCTGTGACAATTCCTGTTTTAAGATATTTTGCTATTTCAAAATATATTGCATATAGAACATTAAATTTCAGTTACCGGGTAATAGAAAAATCGCAAATTTTGTTTCAGATGTAGAAAAAAAAATTAGTAATATGAAAGAACTATTGCTATCACAAATACTATTACAATGATAATCTTTACACCAACTTATTATGTTGTCACAATTTTCCTACCTTTTGCCAATTGCTTTAATGTTGTTATTTTGTTGAACAATTTTGTAGAATGTTGTTGCTAATCTCTTCAGATTCCCAAGTCAATATAACTAATTAGAAATCAGTAATCTTAAAAAAATGATTGCTAGTGTTATAAAATGATGAAATACTTAATTCACAAATTAGAATTGTTATCTGTTCTTTTTTTCCTGTTATTGTGAAAGTATACATTTATTTGGAAGCAATTTAGTACGGTAAATATTATGTCATGCATTAGCATCAAATGTAACAAATTTTAATTCTATATGCAATGTTAATTTACTACTTGTCTTTGTACAGTTGTGCTACAGTTGAATGTTAAGAGAATTATTCATGTGCATCCTTTAATGAGCCTGAATATGAATAAGATAATCTGACAATGAATTTTCAGTTGAAATTGTTAAATGCAATTGGAACAAAAAAGACACTGTGTTGCGTAACACAACTTTAGTGAAAAATTGACATATTCTTAAGTTATTAAACCTAACAATGCTCAACATTTTTCAATCTGGACAATACGGGTACCATTAATAACTTTTAGGGAAAATTTTTAAATAATCATGAATTACCATATTAGAGAACAGTGCAGACTATGATCAGATGGCATAGATGTACTGGCTGATCTTGGTCTGCACTGGTCGCATACCTAGAATAAATCTGCTGACGACAGCAGGCTTATGGTACATTTATCATATTTATAATCATCATAATAATTATTTTAAGCTTCCATATCACTAAGATCAAAATGAAAATCATTGTCATATTAACGCTTATTAAATTTATATGAAGTTTCATGTTTTAATTTGTAAAATGTTTTAATAGGTGAAATGCTATAACTAATCTGGAATGATTCTTGATTGTACTTTAGTTTGAGAAGATAGAACTTGATATAGAGCCGGACAGTATCTTCAACAAACTTGGCGAGTGTGGACTCATTGGTTTCTCCGACTATGTCTTCTTACTGACTGTCCTGTCAAGTAAGTTCTACATCTTTTTATTTTGGGAGAGGACTCACTTTTTATGTATAACTTAATAACAAGCGACACAATTGTTTACTTTAAGGATGTTATTTTAAATATGATAAATATCTAGACAGCCAGAAAGACTTAAATATTTGTATTTAAATGTGCAATTAGAAAAGAAAAGGATAAAATTATCATATAATACATCATAAAATGTTTGTATAATTTACTTCATTCATCAGAATACAAATTAACTTAACTTTAAGCTATGGTAATTAGTGTTTTAATGGCAAAACTTAATAATCAGTTTTGGAACTTCTTTGTTTAAGTGGGACAAATGTAAGAATACTATTTTTATAAACAGGTTTATAAGTATAAAGATTACTTTTTGCAAAAGTTGATCATAAGATGTCATAATCACCTTAAATTTCATTGGTAGTTAACCCATTACTGCACTTATAGCCTTATGAAATATTTGAACGAAAAGAGTTAAAATCTTTATGAAGTTAATGACAAATATAACTGTTGTATTGATGTATATGATTAACCACTTTGTACTTGATTTTAGTAGCAAGTAGATTTCTTTTATGTGTGAATGATTTTCTTGTCTCTTGTAATTCTTATATAGAATGGCTGTGTACATGTCTTATGATATTGTTTGTTTGTAATATGCTATATGTACATAGATGAGACACAAATAAACAAATATATATATATATGATTTTATATTCTTCAGCTCCTCCTAGGAACTTTGAAATAGCTTTTCGTATGTTTGATATCAACGGTGATGGAGAAGTGGATCATGCCGAGTTTGCCAGGGTGAGTTTAAACCTGTCACCTATACAAGCTGTGAAACTGTAATCTGAATGATTCAATAATGTAGTACAATAATTCAATTGATATTGACATGAACTATACAGGAAATATAAGATGTTAACACTTATTATAATTGATAGACAAGCTTGGTAATAGTATTTGATATGTAATAGTTATATGCAAGTACTGATCAAGTTCCAAACCAGACGGACACCAAGATGTGTTAATGATATAATTTTAGTTATTTGTTTATTCAAAGACCATAATATTGGCAGCAAAAATATTTTATGCATGCTTAAAGGCACATAATGCCTCAGAAATTAATAAATGTTTTCGTTCTGTAAAAAGGTGCACTTGAGTTTGATAATGTTTCAATAATGGTTAAATAACATTTTAGATGCTTCTTACCTGAAGAAAGTAGCACAATGTAAAGTTGTATTTTGACATTCATGCAAAATACTAAATCACTATATTTTACTAATTGCCAATAAGTAACAGAACCAAAATTGATTCAGGTAAATAGCTCATTAAATATTTTTTGGGGGAAATTACATCAGGGCACCAAAAGGAAAAAGCTTTTGAGAAATAGAAAATAAAAGCATTTTGGTACATAATGCCTTTAAAACCTACTGGAAATGTTTAAAGATTCATGTGATGGATATTTTCTTTTACCAGATAAGCGATATCCTGCGTAACCAGACAAGCATTGGAAAGCGTCATAGAGATCACGCTGTGACAGGAAATGTCGTTAAAGACATCGGTTCAGCACTGACAACCTACTTCTTTGGAGCAGAGGGTAACAAAAAACTGACTGTGCAAGAGTTTATACAGTTTCAAAAAGAACTGCAAAATGAAGTGTTGAGGCTAGAGGTATGATCAAATTATCAATATGTTATATTTGGTGAACTTCTTATTAAGTCCCTAATAAAACACTGTATGTGATAATATATGTGTAATTTATGTTTACACTCGAGAAGCGTTTGATAAATGGTCATGTTTTGAAATCATTTCGCACAATCCTACTTACTGATTGTAGATAAAATTATAGCTTGGTCAATAAATTGAACATTAATTAATTAAACATGTCTTTTCCATGTAGTTCAATCGTTATGAGCCCGAGGATGGAAAGATCTCTGAACGAGATTTTGCAAAAATGTTGCTCACTTATGCTGGTTTCCCGGACAAGAAGAAGTCACTAATGATTCGTAGGGTAAAGAAAGCATATAAGGAGGAAGAGAATGCATTGGTATGGTTTTGTTACTTAGCAACTTCACTGAACGTTTTTATGCTCCCCGAAAAATTTCGGGGGAGCATATAGTTGGCGCCTTGTCCGTCTGTCCATCCGTCCGTCTGTCAGTCTGTCCGCACTCACAGGACAGTAATTATGTGGCTAGAGGGACAATAGGTAACTGTTCTTTCTCTTTGATGTCATTCATTCCGTAATGCTTTTATGTGGCTATTTGCTTTTGTGTGGCTAAAAAGAACAATAGAGAGAACAATAGAGTAGCCACATAATTACTGTCCTGTGAGAACTTCCGTCTGTCCGTCCGTTGTCTTGTCCGGAGCATAACTTGAAAACCCTTGGAGATAATTTGTTTAAACTTCATACAGTGGTAGAGGGCATTGAGGGGGAGTGCAGTGTCAAAGAACCATAACTCTATTTTGCCCGGTTTTTGAATTATCTCCCCTTATAGAAAAATCTTGTCCAGGACATAACTCTAAAACTATAAGAGATATCAATATGAAACTTTGTAGGTGAATAGATCTCAATGGGTAGATGTGCAGTGCATAAGAACAATAACTCTTTTAGTCCTTATTTTGGAGTTATTGCCCTTTGTTAATTTTAACACTTTGAACTTTGTCCGGAACATAACTCTAAAACTATAAGAGATATCAAGATGAAACATTGTACTCAGATAGATCTCATTGAGTAGAAGTGCAGTGCAAAAAGAACCATAACTCTGTTAAGCCTCATTTTTTAATTATCTCCCCTTTTAGAAAAATCTTGTCCAGGACATAGCTGTAAAACTATAAGAGATATCAACATGAAACTTTGTAGGTAGATATATCTCAATGGGTAGATGTGCAGTGCACAAGAATCATAACTCTGCCTTTCCTAATTCTGGAGTTATTGCCCTTTGTTTATTTTTTTTGCTTTTTGAAGTTGTCCGGGAAATAACTCAGAAACCAATAGAGATTTCAACAAGAAACTTTGTAGGTTGATAGATCACATTGATTAGAAGTGCAGTGCAAAGAACAGTAACTCTGCCTTGCCTAATTTTGGAATTATTGCACTTTGAACTTTTTCCAGGGACATAACTCTGAAACTACAAGAGGTGTTCTTTCTTGTGTCCAAAACCTATTCGGGGAGCATCACCCGGCTCAAACCGGGCTCTTGTTTTAATTGGTTGTTGTGATTTAGATTTAAGTAAATCACACTGGAATTGTTAAGATCGTGTAGTAATGTTCAAGATTTACATGTAAAGAATGGCATCTGATGTCTTATATACTGTATATCCAGCCTGAAATAGTTAATTGGCACCTGGATTAAATCACAGGTCTGTCATATCTTCATCACAAAGGTTTCATTTCCATTGAGGGATTTACACTGCACGATTGAGTTCTAGTAATTTTAAAGTTTTTAATTACTCTTTCGTTTTTTGTTTTTTTTTGCCTTCTTTTTTTTCTTTCCTTGTGAATATGTGTGTGAAGTCTTGTGCATTCCCTTTTTTCAACTGTGTCTGTATATTTACTAAATTTTTAACAGTACATGTACTAATAAGACATTTTCATATGTTTTGAATGGAAATCAAACTTCTTATGTTTCGGAATGTTTAAATCAGATTAATGTTATAAATCAAGCATTTTCTGTACATTTTTAAATTTTCAGGGCATATCTTTTGAAGAGTATGAGAATTTTTGGAAGTTTCTTCAGAATATTACTGATGTTGACACAGCACTGAGTTTCTACCACTTGGCAGGCGTGTCTATAGATCAAGGTATGTCATTTTTTATTCTTCTTATGGATTCTATGCTCTCCGTTGATCAGGTGATAAGTTGTTGTTGTTGTTATTGTGACTGTCCTGTCTGCTTTCACTTTGGCTGCAAGATCTTTAATCTAAAAACTCAGTAAATTTTTCCATAATTGTCAGTATATAATTTGTTGCCTTTGTCTTAATCTTTTTAGAGAGAAGTTGTTGCATTTTAGTAGTTGTGATGTTTAACTGTTAACCCGAAAATTTGAGCATATTTTATTTAATTTACTAAAGTATATTTCCTGTCAATATTTGAAATATTTATTACAAATGCCATTTCCTGTGTTTCATATCAGAAACATTGAAGCATGTGGCAAAGACAGTGGTACAAGTGGACCTATCTGACCATGTTGTAAAGGTGGTGTTTACCCTGTTTGATGAAAATGGTATGTAGTTATTTTTAGCTCAAGTTTTTCGAAGATTAGCAGGCTATCCTAGTCCCCATAGTATTGATATTGTCATGACAATTGGACAAAATTTTGTGTTCAACTACATCTACCACTGATGCCCATGTCATAACTTAAGTTGACGAAATTCATGATAAGTTGACTTAAAGTTATTAGTTTAAACATATTATTTTACGTTTGATTGCAAAAACAAGTTCTTGCAACTTATATTAATCACTTTCGAGTCTGCTTCCTGGAACTAACCAGTACTGGGGTCATGAGGAATCAAGATCATGACCCAAGAAGGGCTCATACCCCAATTGAGATTGGGTTGAGAGGTAGACACCTTAACCACTAGGCCCCAGAGGGATTTGAACACGAAGTGAGGGGAAAGTTGTTCAAAGTCAGTTACCTTAAGCATTCACCCACAGAGGACTCCTTACTTTAAGTTTTAAGAATAATAACAGAAACATGAATTAATTAATGAACATGATTTATTTTAAATCCAGACATTTATATTTTTCAATATTGATTTTCTCATTACAGAGGATGGTCAGCTAAGTAACCGAGAATTTGTATCTGTGATGAAAAGAAGACTCATGCGTGGCCTTGAGAAACCAAAGGATACTGGCTTCACAAAACTTATCAATTCTGTCTGGACATGTACTAAATCACAAACTAGATCTTTCTTTGAATAGCTGGTGTTTATTTTTTTATCATTAGAATTTAATATTAAATGAGAAAGATAGAAGCATGTAATATATGCTCCATACTTTATTTAAGAAAAGCTTCTGAAGGTGATGTAAGAATGTAGTGAACACCTTGATGATAGTTCTAGACTTACTAAAATGTATCACACAAGACCATTATACACACATTAGACCCCATTATACACCACCTTGGAATACAGACTATCCTGTAAATAAAGACCACTCTTTAATAAACCTTCTTTGGAAAAAATACAACTGAGTTCACCTTTGTGTATAGAGGCTGTGTATGGATTCTGTTTTGAAATTTAGGAAAACAGTTAAATTTCAAAATTTATCAATATAATATTTCTTACCTTTTGATAGCACAATGTTTAATTTTGATAGTTGCTGAAAAAGCTAAGTTTATCATGCTGGCAATTTATCAACAAAAAATCAATATGTACATATCGCATTTTCTTGTACAGGCAGCTGGCAGTGGTATTTTATTTGCCTTTTGCCAATAGTATAACATTCTGGCTAGTCAACTGTACATTTGTACAACCTGTTATCCCTTTTATAGGCATTAGACAGTTCCAAACTACAGGCAGAGCAAGTGAACTGCTTGAATTAAAAGAAAGATGTTAAATTCATCAGTTGTTACCATTATGAAAAATGACGATCATCATTTTGACAAAATTTATTATGTCTTGTTACGTGAATTTTCTAAATGAAAACACAAGGTGTACGCTTCTTTAATGAAGTGCTGATATATTGGCAATATATATTTATCACATGTTTACAGAAGATTTAATGGTAACGAGATTTAACAATAGCATGTATAATTATATATATATTATATTTTAACATATCCTATGTATATTTTTTTCTTTTCCTAGAGACATGTTAGAATATACATGTAGTTTTGTTTGCATTAAATTGATTCCATATTTTGTACTTTATTATCAGTTCCGGTCAAAGGTCATCCAAGTTCAAGGTGATTTGAAGATTATATGAACTTTACTTAGTTGAAAATATTTAATTTATTTTGATGTCGTTATATTTAGTTATTTAGTTATATACTTATAAACCTATGAACTTTTTCCAGTAAAACCTAAAACATGTTCTTGAGTTTGTTTTTTTTTTTTTTAGCTCACCTGTCACAAAGTGACATGGTGAGCTTTTGTGATCACTTTTCATCCGGCGGCCGGCAGTCGTCCGTCCCTCGTCTGTAAACTTTTACTTTAAACAACATCTCCTCATAAACCGCTAAGCCAATTTTATCCAAACTTCACAGGAATGGTCCTTTGGTGGTCACCTTTAAAAATTGTTCAAAGAATTTAATTCCATGCAAAACTACCATGGCAACTGAAAGAAAAAACTTAAAATATCTTCTTTTAAAAAACCCAAAGAGGTAGAGCTTAGATATTTGGCATGAAACATCTTCTAATGAGTGTTTATCAAGTTGTTCAAATAAAAGCCCTGGGGTCAAAATTAGCCCTATCTTTTATACCAGAGGAGTATGAAATTTTGTATTAACAGTTTTAACTATTACTGTTCAAGATTACACGTATATATGTCAATTATATAATATGTATTTACTTAAAGCATATAGAGGATACTCAAGTTTTTTCTATAAATAATCTGGATTTATTTTCATTGAATGGTACGAAAATTATCATATTTCATACCACAAGATAAAAACTTGAATTTTCTGTTTATTGTATACTTTTTCTCCTTTTTTTTTTTTTGGCCTTGAAATTTGAAAGATTTCTTCATTAATTTTGTGTATTGGCTGAATTTAGATGAAAGTAGTCTGGCAAGACACCAGTGAAAATACAGAAAATGTGTTTCATTGCTGTGAAAAATAAATTTTTACAATGAAAATACAGCAAATGAAAATATGTATTTTATTTCACCAATATTTTGTTTATAAGTTTATAGTAAACATTTACATATATAATATAAATATGTGGATGTAATGAAAGCTTTAATCCTTGTATTCGAACCATTATTGAGACTGCAATAAGGTAACTGAGTGAAGTGCATTGCAGCACTATTAACCATTTAACCTGCTGAATTTGTGTAATGAATTTGCCCAGTTTTGAATTTAGAACAGTCCATTCAAAGTTACAAGGATTTCATTATCAAAATACAAAAGTTGAGTTATGAACAGTATAGAGCCTTGTCGTACTGCACAGATGTGCAGACTACACTGGCTCTATATGCTGATGGCCAAGGCTAATCACTTTCAAGCAGGTAAAAATATTTTAAGTTCATCATGATGCCCACTGTGCAAGAAGTTCACAGAATGCAGTCCCTAACAAGAAAGAGCAATGTTCACAGAATGCAGTCCCTAACTAACAAGAAAGAGCATTGTTCACAGAATGCAGTCCATAACTAACAAGAAAGAACAATGTTCACAGAATGCAGTCCCTAACTAACAAGAAAGAGCATTGTTCACAGAATGCAATCCCTAACTAACAAGAAAGAGCATTGTTCCCTAACTAACAAGAAAGAGCATTGTTCACAGAATACAGTCCCTAACTAACAAGAAAGAGCAATGTTCACAGAATGCAGTCCCTATTTAACACGAAAAAGCAATGTTCACAGAATGCAGTCCCTAACTAACAAGAAAGAACAATGTTCACAGAATGCAGTCCCTAACTAACAAGAAAGAGAAATGTTCACAGAATGCAGTCCCTAACTAACAAGAAAGAGCACTGTGCACAGAATGCAGTCCCTAACTGAAAAGAAAGAGCAATGTTCACAGAATGCATTCCCCTAACTAAAAAGACAGAGAAATGTTCACAGAATGCAGTCCCTAACAAGAAAGAGCAATGTTCACAGAATGCAGGCCCTAACTAACAAGAAAGAGCATTGTTCACATAATGCAGTCTTTAATTAACAAGAAAGAACAATGTTCACAAAATGCAATCCCTAACTAACAAGAAATGGCAATGTTTACAAAATGCAGTCCCTAACTAACAAGAAAAAGAAATTATCACAGAATGCAGTCCCTAACTAACAAGAAATAGAAATGTTCACATAATGCAGTCATTAACTTACAAGAAAGAGCAATGTTCAAAGAATGCAGTCCATAACTAACAAGAAAGAACAATGTTCACAGAATGCAGCCCCTAACTAACAAGAAAGAGCAATGTTCAAAGAATGCAGTCCCTAACTAACAAGAAAGAGAAATGTTCACAGAATGCAGTCCCTAACTAACAAGAAATAGAAATGTTCACAGAATGCAGTCACTAACTATCAAGCAAGAAAAGTGTTCACATAATGCAGTCCTTCACAGAATGCAGTCCCTAACTAACAAGAAAGATCAATATTTACAGAATGCAGTCCCTAACTAACAAGAAAGAGAATTGTTCACAGACTGCAGTCCCTAACTTAAAAGAAAGAACAATGTTCACAGAGTGCAGTCCCTAACTAACAAGAAAGAGAAATGTTCACAGAATGCAGTCCCTAACTAACAAGAAAGAGCAATGTTTACAGAATGCAGTCCCTAACTATCAAGAAAGAGCAATTAATGTTCACAGAATACATTCCCCTAACTAGCAAGACAGAGAAATGTTCACAGAATGCAGTCACTAACAAGAAAGAGCAATGTTCACAGAATGCAGTCCCTAACTAACATGAAAGAAAAATGTTCACAGAATGCAGTCCCTAACTAACATGAAAGAGCAATGTTCACACAATGCAGTCCCTAACTAACATGAAAGAGAAATGTTCACAAAATGCAGTCCCTAACTAACAAGAAATAGAAATGTTCACATATTGCAGTCTCTTACTAACAAGGAAGAGAAATGTTTGCATAATGCATTCCCTTACTGGCAAGAATGAGCAATGTTCGCAGAATGCAGTCTCTAACAAACAAGAAAGAGCAATGTTCACAGAATGCAGTCCCTAACTGACAAGAAAGAGTAATGATCGCAGAATGCAGTCCCTAACTTACAAGAAAGAGCAATGTTCACAGAATGCAGTCACTAACTGACAAGAAAGAACAATGTTCACCGAATGCAGTCCCTTACTGGCAAGAAAGAGCATTGTTCACAGAATGCAGTCCATAACTAACAAGAAAGAGCAATGTTCACAGAATGCAGTCCCTAACTAACAAGAAAGAGCATTGTTTAAAGAATGTATAGTCCCTAACTAACAACAAAGAACAATGTTTATTCCATAGTATAATGCTATGAGGGAAGAAAGAGTACTTATGGTAGTCGGAGGATACCTGTATTTGCATAATGCATTCCCTTACTGGCAAGAAGAGCAATGTTCGCAGAATGCAGTCCCTAACAAACAAGAAAGAGCAATGTTCACATAATGCAGTCCCTAACTGACAAGAAAGGGCAATGTTCGCAGAATGCATTCCTTTACTTACAAGAAAGAGCAATGTTCACAGAATGCAGTCACTAACTGACAAGAAAGAACAATGTTCACAGAATGCAGTCCCTTACTGGCAAGAAAGAGCATTGTTCACAGAATGCAGTCCATAACTCTAACAAAAAGAGCAATGCTTCACCATAATGCAGTCCCTAACAACAAGAAAGAGCATTGTTTAAAGAATTGTATAGTCCCTAACTAACAACAAAGAACAATGTTTATTCCATAGTATAATGCTATGAGGGAAGAAAGAGTACTTATGGTAGTCGGAGGATACCTGTATTTGGCGTAGGGATAAGGGGTGCATATGTCTGGTTAATCTATATTGGGTTTGAAAATATGTTGGGAGATTAATTGCAACTAAGTTATGGTATATCTTACAAAACATTATCAGTCTACAGTCCAATCTGCGGTGTTCAAGGGATCGCCAGCCCAGTTCTTCCTGCATGGCTGTAACACTAGAGTGAGGGGAGTAATCCCTTTTAACCCATCTTATTGCACGTCTCGTCTCTGGATCATCTCAACTTTGTCAATATTGGTTTTAGTGTAAGGAGACCAAATAAGTGAGGCATATTCAACCTGGGCCGGACCACTGGGACTTGTATGCTAGTTCTTTCACTTTCTCATTTTTAGTAATAACAATTTCTTTTAATAAAGCCAAGGGATCTGTTTGCATTGGAAGTTATTCGAGATATGTGTGTATTAAATTTAAGGTCAGAAGATAGATCTAGTCCGAGATATTTAGCATTTGGAACAGACTCTAGGACTTGGCCATGGAGCATATAATTGTGTTTAATTATGGTTTTATTTTTGGTGATATGGATGACTTGGCATTTTGAAGGGTTAAAACTCCATGTCCCACTGCTTTCTCCCACAGAACCATATTGTCAAGATCATGTTGGAGATTTGGGGGGTCTGAGGAGGAATTGATGGTTAGGTATACAGCAGTGTCGTCTGCAAATATCTGACTTGGGATTTAAGGACAGAAGATGGTAGCTTGTTGATATATAGAAGGAAACAAAGGGGCCCTATGACAGAGCCTTGGGGCACTCCATAGGTAACTGGAACTCAGATGAGCAGTCACTATCCACAACTACTGTCTGTCTACGGCCAATAAGGAAGGAACTGTATCCAGTTTTAGAATTTTGAGAAACAAACACCATTTCTTGAAGGGTTATCTAAGAGTTTAAGATGGTTACTTTATCGAAAAGCTTTGGAGAAGTCAAGAAATATGAGATCTGAATGTTTGCCATTTTGAAAGATTGTTTCACAAGGTAAATTCAGTAAGTTTCAATTGAGTTGTGTCTCACATGATCGTCTTTCTCTGAAATCCATGCTGAAGATCCAAGAGTCAGTTAGGTGGGTGGTAAAGTGAGAGGATAGTTGAGAGGCAACTATGTGTTCAAGTGTTTTACAGAGGATGCATGTAAGGGAAATTGGGCGATAGTTTGCTGGATCACTTGTAAATCACCTTTTTTGTAGACAGGGGCATACGTTTGCACGGGTCCAGTCATGGGAATATTGCCGGGGTCAGGGATTTTTGGGAAAAGAAACCGGACGATGTCAACAATCTCTTCCCTCAGCTCCTTCAGAACAATTTGGTCTTATGTTGTCAGGGGCCAGCAGCCCTTTGTTGCATTTGAGGTTGGCGAGGAGCTTTAAAAATTAGTACACCTGCCCTACTGATTATGATGTCATTCATTGTGGGTACTGACAATACTTTCTGAGATCCATGAGTCTCAGTTTTTGTATGATTGATCTTTAAGTGTAAGTGGTATATAATTGGTGAGAAAACTGATTGAAATTGTTTGTTAAGAATGTTTGCTTTTTTCAGTGTTATTAATTTTGAGAGAACCAGACTTTTGATCTTTTTAATGGAGACACACTGTGTGAATCTTGTTTAGAGTTTTTTATAAGTGTGTATAGTTTTTTGGTACATACTTTACTTTGTGTATTAGTTTCATCATCATCATCTTCTTCTTCTTCTTCCAATATACTGGCCACCTTCAACTAACTGAAGTTTACTTGCCAGGTTAATGCGCAAGACGGAAAAGAAAAGAGTAAAAAAATGGTGAGGAATATATACAGTGCAGTTAAAAACGGACAAGATGTGGTTTAGATATAGAGTTGGGACAGATGAGTACGGAATGACTCAACTGTACCGGGCTGACGTAGCGTCTGGAGGTAGGCTGTTCCAGTCTTTGATGGTACGTGGGAAGAAGGATTGTTGACGGTATTGTGTACGGCAGTAGGGTATCTTGTAGGTTAGGTTGTGTGAATTTCTTGTAGATGTGGAGTTTGGAGGGTATGAGTTGTGAATTGTCTAGAGCGATCTTGTTGTTGATGACTTGTTAGAGCATGATCAGTCTGGCCTCCTTTCGAAGTTCTTGTAATGGTTTCCATTCAAGATCTGCAAGCATGTCTGTGACGCTGGACCTGTGTGGTACTTGTTTTTAAAAAACCGTGCAGCACGTCGTTGACCATGTCTAGACGGTGTATATGTCTCCTTCTCGTGGGGTCCAGACAGTGCTCGCATACTCTACTGTGGGGGACTAAGCTTTGTAGGCTGTTTCTTTGGTGGAAGTAGAGGCCGATGTTGAGGTTTCTTCGCAGGAAGCTGGTTGGTGCGGTTGGCTTTGTTACAAATGTATGTTGTATATGTTGGCCCCAGTCTATGGTTGTTTTTCAGGTGCATCCAAGGTATTTAGCTGATGTAACGTGCTCTAAAGTATGACCATAAGAGTGTAGTTATGGCAGATGGGGCTTCTTTTCTTGGAGATGGTGAGGACTTGGGGCATTTGTCTGGAGTGGAATGACATTTTCCATTCTCTTCCCAGACAGCTAGTTTGTCGAGGTCAGCTTGTAGGGTGGAACAGTCAGACTTGTTTGTGATGGCAAGATAGGCCAGCGTATCATCTGCAAATAATCGGACGACTGCGTTGAGACCCTCTGGGATGTCATTATTGTAGAAGAGGAAACAGACTCGGGCCAAGGACTGAGCCCTTTGGGACGCCGGATTCTACAGATACTGTATCTGAGGTTACCCCTTCCAAGACTACAGATTGGGATCGGTTGCTTAAGAAAGCCTGAATCCACAGGTTGGTCTTGCCTCTGATGCGTAGTGCTCCAGTTTGTGGGATAAAAGGCTGTGACAAACTTTGTCGAAGGCCTTGGCGAAGTCCATGTTGAGAACATATCAGTCTGTTTGCCATTTTCCATGTTCCGGGTTATGTCATCTGTGAATTCAATAAGCTGTGTTTCACAGGATCTGCCCTTTCTGAAGCCGTGTTGGAGAGGATAGAGAATCTTTTGTTTTTCGGCATGGTTCATGATGTGGCTGGTGACAATGTGTTCTAGGAGCTTGCAGCAGATGCAAGGTTCAGGATGTTTTCTAAGAAAGACTCATATGATTTTATTTGCGATTTCAAATTTTTAAATTTTAGCCATTGATCATGATCAGATTTATTTTTATTTGTTTTTGGTTTTTTAATATTTTTATAGAGCTGGTCTCTTTTATGAATTATTTTTTTAATGGATTTTGTTATCCAGGACAAAGATGGTTCTTTTAGTGGGTATGAATTTTGATATGCCATCCTCAAGTGTGTGTTTGAACTGCGCCCAAAGTTCTTCAACAGACAAAGATTCAGCTTTTGCAACGTCCTTAATATACTGTATGCTGAGATTGACAAACATGCATTTTATTTATATATAAAAATCGAAAGTTTGGTGCGAAAGGGTTATATAAATAAAATGTATGCGTTTTGAGCTCCACACCCCAAATGGATGTAAATAAAAAAGAAGGAAAATATTTAGTAGTGTACAACAGTAAACTAGGCGAATGGTGATTCTTACAAATTTCTTTTAACACAGTTTCAACATGGCAGCCCTCAGAAGATATACCTCATGTTTGAGATATGTTTCTTATATTTCTCTATTATCGGCGAAGACACATTGTCAAAATGCTGCTAGACAATTTCCAAGAACATGTTCCAAGCATGGCGGTATGCTTACATTAGTTCGTAAATATTCGGGTAAGTGAATTATGTCCTTTATGAAGGACATGTATGTAAAATTATAAAAGGTAGCCCACACTAAATTTCAAAAGCCCTACAAGCAATCACAGGTGGCAGTATCAATGTTTGGAACCCCACCCCTATCTTCCCCTGGACCCCTACTATAACCATGAAAAAAAAAATTCAACACAATAAGGTACCAAAACTTCCGATAAAATTATGAACTTTTTTTTTCCACTATCAAAATTATAGAAAGGTGAAAAGCCTACTAGATCTACTGTATATATTCATTTGCCAAACAATGTGGAACACGGGAAATCGTCGTTTCGACGCATTCCAAAGGCATTTCGCTGCATCATTCATTAACAACAATAAAAAAAACTAGAATTCCACAGCTTACTTAATTCAAGTCCGACGAATATCAATATTCTGTCGATCACTATAGTCACTACGTCCAAGAAATCCTCTCCATTAGAAACTGTGGCTTCAATTACTGTGATGTGCTTCCTTATATTATAAAATATACTTCAAGTTATCAGGCATTTGCCAAATGTTTAGGTTTCTTTTACACTTCAGGAAGCAATCTGATGGTGAAAATATCACAGGGTTGCCTTTAGAATAGTCCAATATATTAGACGTTACAGGCTTGTTATAGTTTTTGTCGGTCAAGCCTGACGTCTAATAGTTATTGCTCAAAAACGCATAGCATCATAAAAAATTCAAAAAATGTCTATTGATCTTGCCTTTCAAGCTTTATTCAAAAGCTTATCTTCTTTTCTTTCAATTTCATGTTCAATCATACACAAAAACTCTCAAACAATGTACTTATCAATTTAAAATAAAATATAAACATCAATCTATTTTTTTGTTATCAGCCATACTGGTTAAGCAAGATGCTATTCAGATTGATTCCAAATTTTTGAACGGAAAAAATATATTCGAACACACTGACGGTGCAATGGGCAATTATTTCGTTAAAAAATATTCCGTTAGATTGTGTTCTGACTCAGTTAAACGCTTGCATTTGAATTAGCCAATCAGATTCGCGCACTTTTACGGCCGCCGTTGTTTATTCAACTGTAAAAGGAATTTAATACATGAGAGGATTTAAATCATGATATTTCGGATGTGACAGTTTAATTTTATTTTGACAAAAGGTAATTTATTTTTTAGTTTTGTTCATAAATAGCAGACTTCCCGAAATACGTCGGTCCGACGGACATGTCCGATAAATTTTGATCAGGTCCGACGATTTTTTATTCCGGATCGGTCCGAATGTCCGGCTTTTATCCAAGCAGCATGTATACAAAATGGCGTGGCTAAAGCTGCCAAACCTGGGAAAAAAACGAAAATCTTCGTCAGAGGAGCGCGCAGAACAGCAATTAAAAGGATGAAAAGAATAGACCTGAGACAAAATTTAATGAAAATGGATTCTCTTCCAAGGAGGACCTCCCAAGGGGCATGAATCGTTGGTGTATAACAGGGAGGAGAATGAAAATGCACTGTAACGGAATGTGCCGATTTTTACGGCGAAAAAATTAAAAACAAAAAGTGTCTTAGAAATACAAACACAAGTTTTTCTTATTTTGATCATTTTATTTGGTCTGAAAGATTTCGTTTCGGTCCGACAGATTTTCATGGTTTGTCGGACCGAATGTCTGACAGTTTTTTTTAACTTTCGGGAAGTCTGAAATAGGTCAAAAATTATGTAAATACACGCTGTCTTCATTGTTTTTCGTTCCACCCGATTTTCTGGCGGAACATGCTATGGGTTTTTGAGCAATTTCGATATGACGTTGCTTTGCCCAGAAGCAAAAATATCTCAAAGCGATGTCATATTTATAGGACTACCTTTAGAATAGCCAGAAGTTTGGATCACATTTATGAGATCTATATTTTTTGATTTACAGTAACCCCCAGCCTGCTTCTAATAGAGAGATCCCAGGAATTTACCATCTGTCATATATATCAGATCATGTTTATCAATTGTGTTTAGATCATTCACTGATCTGTGTTTCAATATTTTAAAAGGTGTGTATCTGTACTGTAAGTTGTTGCTTAGAAATGATCATGATTTGGCATCTTCATCTTACATTGGGAATAGTCTGTAGATGAATTTTTGATTGACAGGCCATTTGAAATATTTATGATTTCAGAAAATTCTGATGGCCCCAACAGTCATTTAATTCACTTAAGTAATATACAAATTGATTTCTTTTCATAGAAAATGTAGCAACAAACAGTGCAAACAGCTCTTTGGAATCTGTGCTTGTATCAGGCTCTCTCGATGAAGTAATGAAAATGGTAAATTCTGAAACAGATATGATTATAAACAATCATGACAAGTGTACTGTGACCAGAGAAGAAGTTGAAAAAGCTCTTAATGGTAAGTTCAATGCCAAAAATATGGTTTTTCAAATAACCTGAATTTTCTGCTTTTTTCTATAACTAATAAGTGGCGGTTTTTTGTTAACATAAGCAGGCATTTGAGCCGACAAAACAAAACCAAATAGTGCGGTTTGGTGAACCAGCAGGATCCAGACCAACCTGGGATTCCGCACAGTCTGATCAGGATCCATGCTGTTCGCTATCAGTTTCTCTACTTGCTAAAGGGTTTGTAAGCGAACAGCATGGATCCTGATCAGACTGCGCAGACGCGCAGGCTGGTCTGGATCCATGCTGGTCGCATACGCACTATGTTGGTTTTGTCTTGATGCGGCTCATTTAGAAAGTTAATTAGACTGTCTAACATGTCACAGGCAGGCAACTTTTGTGCCAGTCTGGTAACTTTTCTGTGAATGACTGGTTTGGCATGATCAAAGGAAAACAAGATTTTACCTTATAATGATAGTTGCTTAGGCAATAATTTTATGCTTTTTCACAAGATGTTAGTAGATTCTTTTTGTAGTTTTATGAAGAGTGATTATTTGGCTTTATATATGTTTATATGAAAGTGATTATATATTTAAGGGGTAGACGTGGAGGAGATATGTTATATTGAAACCCCTCACTGCTATACAAGGAGCTGTTTTTATATAAGATGCAAGAATGAGAACAGTCTGGCAGAAGCTGTGAATTTAGCAAGGACACAATTACCAGGGTTTGACTTGTATTTTTTATTACTAATTATTTAATACTATAAAAGAATTTGAGCTATAAATCTTAGGGCATTTTGCTCAGGTATTATGATCTACCTTTGAATGTTGTTTGTACATTTTAAACTTTTTTTATACATTATACATATAACATTTTGTCATAGACCAATAAAAGTCAAATGTTAGGAATTTACAGGAAAATTCAAATGTTAGGAAATAACAGGAAAATCCTGGTTCAGGAATAATCCTTGAATGGTGTAATTCAAAAATAGGCACTCTTTCTTTCCTGTTGGACCAGATTGCTATGATATTGTATTGTATCCTATTTTAACTTTAAAAAAAAACAAGAGATGTACAGGACACTGGTGCAGATTTGTGAAAATCAATAAATGTGATTGTTGTGTTGAACTGTACCTAAAAAAGCCGGATTAGTTCTTGTCTGTGAAACAAATTTAAGTCGAGAGTTAAAGCAACAATGTTTTAATTATTATCCGATTGGCAACCCTTATAATCAGAATAAAAGCTGTTGAAATTGGCTGTATTTTGTATTTTGAGCCAGTGTACTGTAAATTATTTCGAATAGTATTGTGTGTGAATTTACAATTATTCTAATTATCATGAAAAGGTGTACACCCAAAAACAATATTAATATTTTATATTGCTGCCGATTCGTCAGTTTGCCATCTTGAAACCCCCTACCATGCAAAGGCCCTTGACCCTGAGGGGCCTAAGGGCAGCCCTGAACCCTATCGGTGTTGAACTGGACCCACAGGGGGCCCTAGGCAGCCTCTGACCCTTGCAATAATTGTTTGGTTTTCAAAAATCTGTTGTCTAAAATTATAATGAAAAACCCTGTTTTTATGTGTCAAGGAATATAGTTAATTCAACCAATAATTTATTTATCTGTCTGTTTGATAACCATATAATTATGGTCTATATAGTGTGAAGTAGCTGGAGATTCTAGGTACAGTCTGAATATATGTCAGCTTCGATCTTGTGAAATATCTGTTGTCCCGCCAAGAAAGTTACTACAGAATAATAGTCTGTATTAGTCTCATACGAGGCATTGCCAAATAAATCAAGAATTAATATTTACATATATTAATAATGTGTATGATTAACTTGTCAAATTGGATTCAATAAATTAAATAATTTTACTGTATTTTAGTGTAAATGAGAGTAAATTATATTTGTTACTGCTTATAAATCTTATGATACAAAAATGTAAATTTTGTAATTTTTTGTATAAACATTCATTAAATGAATGATCAAAAACTACGACAAAATGTCACAATATTGTTAAAGACTTACAAAGTAACCATTGACTTTCCATAGCAACCCTTAACTTTTCTTAGCATCAGGTGACACCATAGGAACCTTTGACTTTCCATAGCAACAACTGATAATCATAGCAACCTTTCACTTCCCAATCGGTGATTTAAATAGCAACCATTGACTATCCATAACTACCAGTGAATTCCTTTACAAACAACCAGTGATTTCGATAGCAACTATTGTCCTTCCTGGGCAACCATTGACTTCCATACTAACAATAGATTTTCCATAGCAACCAGTGACTTTTTATTTGTCTTTCTGAAGAGTGATACACAGATGGTAAAAATTTTCATAAACTCTGTATCAGGGTTATACGCATTATAAACTGTATGATACGAAAACAAATTTTAAAATTGAACTATACCCAATAGCTGACTAGGTCATGCAGTCATATTGCCTTACACTTGAAGATTGAACCATTTAAGAAAGGCAAATGCGCACACATTTGAGCCGTGTCACGACAAAACCAACATAATGGGTTTGCGACCAGCATGGATCCGGACCAGCCTGCACATCCGTGCAGTCTGATCAGGATCCATGCTGTTTGCTTACCAACTCTTTTACAAGTTGAGAAACTGATAGCGAACAGCATGGATCCTGATCAGACTGCGCGGATGCTCTGGCTGGTCTAGATCCATGCTGGTCGCAAACCCATTATGTTGGTTTTGTCGTGACGCGGCTCATTTAATAGTCAATATTTGTGAGTTACTTAACTGACCAGTTGGCTTTCAGTTCAAATGTATGTGGTCACATATTCCCTTACAACCAATCGTTTGTTGTTTCTGGTAAGATGGGTCATATTGTGGCATGTTTGATTAGCATGATCAAAATTCTCACTTTGTAAAAGTAAATAAAATTCCCAAACACTCTGATCTCAGTTTGCTCTGGCAAAAAAGACAAAAGAGAATGGTGCTGGCAAAAGCTTAGCTGATTCATCAAACTTGGCACCAAAGAAAACAAGAACATTTTAAAGTGATTAGTAAAATTAGTATCCCTTGTAAGTGTTGATGGTTTTGGAATGAAAATGTCTTGCTGTTTCAAGACATTTGCTTGTCAGCTAAATCAGCCTTCTAGTTTTTAAATAACCTTGAAAAGTGTGTACATGTATGTACATGTTCAACATGCCAATCATAGAATGAATTTTGTTGAATCTATTGATATAGATTATGCCCCAGTGACTTACTTTTTTGTGTTAAAACTACTGCTATGAAATTTGGTCTATACAGACTCTTTCATATGCAGAGTTAAATTTTGATATTAGTTGACCTAGATTGACCTACTTTCTTGTGTTTGGTGTTTGGCACTTTTAAAGACTGTGAAATGCCATTGAATTTTTTATAACTGTTAATCTAGATTATGTCCAATTGACATACTTATGGCATGTAAAAACCCACTACAGAATTATATTAATCATCTCCTTAGGTCAAAATTTGGTCCCTTGATTTATAGAATAGTATGGAAAATACATTTATGTCTTTGTGAAACTACAATGGCAAGAGCTTAGATATTTTGTTTGTAGCATTGCTTAGTATACCTCTACAAAAATACATAAGTCATGCCCCAGCCCCCTAGGGTCAAAAATGGTGGGGCCCTAGGTTTCACTTATTTTACATGACTTGTATAGTAAAAATGTCTCTAAAATCTTCTGTGAAATTACCATGTCAAAACCTGAGATATTTTGCATGGTAGCATCTTGTGTAATTCCTAGAGCTTTGATATTCATTGCAGACATTTACAAATACCTTTTTGTGTACTTAAAAAAATTCTGCAGCTTTGGTATAAGATGGCAAAGCAAATATGAGCGGCGTCATGACAAAACCAACATAGTGGGTTTGCGACCAGCATGGATCCAGACCAGCATGCGCATCCGCGCAGTCTGATCAGGATCCATGCTGTTCGCTATCAGTTTCTCTACTTGTTATAGAGTTTGTAAGCGAACAGCATGGATCCTGATCAAACTGTGCGGATGCACAGGCTGGTCTGGATCCATGCTGGTCGCAAACCCATTATGTTGGTTTTGTCATGACGCGGCTCATATTATTATGATCTCATTACTGACTTTAACATTAAAAGATAAAAATTTTGGGAACCTTTTCTAGAAATTTATCAATGAATCCAGGGCCATCATTGATAGTTAACAATATTGATCGTCCCTTGACATTAAGAGCCTTAATAGTCTGGTGAGCAATGTAAGGGCCATCATGGCCCTCTTATGCTATACACATACATTGTGGATTAATGCACTTAATTGCTCTATTTATTTGATAGGGGAACAGCTAAAAGCATGTTAGAATGAAAAATATGACATTTTAAATATGGATTCTTTTTCTTCAGAAGGGCAGATATACATTCAATAAAAGAAAGCCTAATGAAATGTAAGTAAACCAATTCTTTATTATAACGTACTATTCTACCATGCATGTACTGTAATAAATGTTGAATTGGCCAACTTTTGACCAAAACTATTCTCTTCAAACATGGTTTACAAGTTAGATTATTAGAAGTGACACCATTTCACAAGGGCAGGTAAACGTCAAAGTAAGCCCATTTCTCAAAAACTGTTGCTTCAAACTTGAATAATTTGTTCTCAATCAAACTGTGAGAATATTTCTTAAAAGGGGTTGGGGTTGCAACTAGATTAGTGCTTGTAAGTCTATACATTTAGTTTATACAAATTTACTATAATTAGATTGTGTTTGAAGTTATAAGCTTATTGAAACACTCACAAACCGTTCTTGGAACCAACCAGTATGAAACAATGAGTGCAAAGTTTCTTGCTCACGGAAACAATGGCTTGCCCTTGACGGGTTTGAACCCACGCAACCTGTGCTTGTTGGTACTTCCTGCTGTTTGTAAGTATATTCACTGATGAAATAATCAAATGTTGGTACATTCATATCCCGCATTTCTATCTTTAATTTTTATACGACCGTTTGGAAAATGGGACGTATTATGGGAACGCCCCTGGCGAGTGGTAGGGCGGGCGGGCGGCGTCCAATTTTGTCCGGAGCATATCTCCTACATGTATGGAGGGATTTTAATGAAACTTCATATAAATGTTCACCACTATGAGGAGCAGTGTCGCGCACATGAACCAGGTCTCTAGGTCAAAGGTCAAGGTCACACTTAGAGCTCATTGAAAAATGCTTGTCCGGAGCAAAACTTCCACATGTATAGAGGGATTTCAATATTACTTGGCACAAATGTTCACCATTGTGAGGCGGAGTGTCGCGTGCAAGATTCAGGTCCTTGCGGCCAAGGTCAAGGTCACACATAGAGGTCAAAGTTCACATAAAAATATGAAGATGTGTATATGGACCATTTAGTCATCATTTATTGAGGGATTGTAACACCAAATGGTCATTATCAAGACTATGGCTGTGATACATATAATTTAGGTCAATATATACAAGGTCAAGGTCACTAAAGATGATGAAATATCCAGATTTTGTAAATAGAATTTAATCAAAGGGAGACAACAAAGTTATTACTTTGTTCATCAAATGACTTACAGCACAATTACTCCCCTTGATCTATTTTCACTTTCAATTCTAAAAATAGAATTTAATCAAAGGGCATGAAAATAATCCTCTTTCTTGGACTTGAGTATGTTCTAAAGATGTAACATTTATTTACACATGTTTCATTCATTGGTCAAGATTCTTAACTGTGATAACTATGGTGTTCTGTAGACTTGGTATTGTTCATAAAGATCATACAGTAATTACCTTATCAAATGTAAATACTTTCTCATAGAAATTTAATTATATTTTAATATTCAAGTAAATATCAGTTCAGCTCATTCAAAGATTAAGAATTGTAATGAAATGTATTTCCCTAGAATAAAATCTTAAATCAGAATTTTTTAGTTATTAAATTACATGTACTTTTTATACGCCCGTTTAAAAAAGATAAAAATATAAAGATGTGTATAGGGACGATTTAATCATCATTTATTGAGGGATTGTAACACAAATGGTCATTATAATGACTACGGCTGTGACACATGTACTTTAGGTCAATATATGCAAGGTCAAGGTCACTAAAGATGGTGAAATATCCAGATTTTGTCTGGAGCATATCTCCTACATGTATGGAAGAATTTTTATAATACTTTATGGAAATGTTCACCACCATGATATGTATTGCTCCATGCATGATCCAGGTCTCCAGGTCAAAGGTCAAGGTCACACTTAGAGCTCATTGAAAAACGCTTGTCCGGAGCAAAACTTCTACATTCATAGGGGGTTTTCAATATAACTTGGCACAAATGTTCACCATTGTGAGGCTGAGTGTCGCATGCAAAATTCAGATCCCTGCGACCAAAGTCAAGGTTACACGTAGAGGTCAAAGTTTAGATAAAAATTTGAAGATGGTTATAGGGACCATTTAGTCATCATTTATTGATGGATTGTAGCACAAATGGTAACTATCATGACTACAGGTGTTACACATTTAATTTAGGTTAATATTTGCAAGGTCAAGGTCACTGGAGATGATTAAATATCCAGATGTTGTCCGGAGCATATTTTCTACATGCATGGAGGAATTTTAATGTTACTTTTATAGAATTGTTCACCACCATGAGACGTAGTGCCCTGCACATAAACCAAGTCTCTAGGTCAAAGGTGAAGGTCACAGTTAGAGCTCATAGAAAAACACTTGTCTGGAGCAAAACTTCTACATGCATAGAGGGATTTCAATATAATTTGGCACAAATGTTCATCATTGTGAGGCTGAGTGCCGTGCATAAAATTCAGGTCCCTGCGACCAAGGTCAAGGTCACACATTCTGTGCATATCTTCCCTATTGATTTGTTTTAAGGTTCATTTAACAACACAGTGCCAAGAATAAAAACTTGTTTGCTAGATAACACTTATCCATAATGCCCCCATCTCCATCTAAAGCTTTTTCGTAAACGGGCGTATTTTGTGACTATGGCACCCTTGTTCAGTTTATAAAAAACTATCAAACTTTGATAATGATGTTACTGTCTCCCATTTGCAAAGCATTGGGTTGGTTTTCTGTAATCTAGAACATATGTAAAATAAAATAATGTTTTCATTTTCTTCAATAAATCATACTTTATACATTCTTTTGGGAGAGGCATATAATTAGTCCCCTACCGGTTTAACCGGATGGGACTTTAGGTTTACCCTCCGTCTGTCTGTCTGTCTGTCAGTCCGTCAGTCCGTCTGTCCACAAAACTGGATCCTGCGATAACGCAAAAAGTACTGAAAATATTTTTATGAAACTTGATATATGGATAGATGGCAGTATGGAGATTATGCATGTCTTTTTTTTTTTTCCTATGTTGAAAATTCTGGTTGCTATGGCAACAAATAGGCTGAAAATATGGCAAATTTAACACATAAACTGGATCCAGTGATAACTCAAAAAGCACTGAAAATATTTTTATGAAACTTGAAATATGGGTAGATGCCAGTTTGGAGATTATGCACATCTTTTTCTTTTCTTCCTATGTTGAAAATTCTGGTTGCTATGGCAACAAATAGCCTGAATTTCAAGATTTCTGATTTAAATTTTAAAGCTTTTTCACTATAAGTTCTTTATTTCTTAAGGTGTTTACATTAATATTTAAATATAAGTTTCTGGTCATCAACCACATCATAAGTGACAAGGTTTACAACTCTAGCACAAAAATTATCAGTATTACCTCCCTTGAACTTAGAATTTTTATGGAAAAAAAATGTTGTCTTTTTTAAATAACTTCTTTATTTCCTAATGTATCTACTTCAAACTTCATATATATGTTTCTTATTATCACTCAACATTTTTGAGAAGGTTAAATACACTAGCAAGACTATTTCCAGAATTATGTCCCCCTTGAACTTAGATTTTTTTCAAGAAATTGGTATTTTTCACTCCAACTTCTTCATTCCTATGATTTACTTTAAAATCCCATATCGTAATAATATGACAAGGTTGTATAAACATAATTTCCTTACTAGGCAGGGAAACTTAACACATTACTGTGATATAGACAAACTTAGAACTCAAAAGATTTAAGTTCATTCACGTCATTCATTCACTGGTAAAATTGAATGGCCAATGGCCCATCAGAATGTTGCTGGGGTTCTAACCGGTAGGGGACTTATGGATTGCTTGCAATACTATGATAATTGCTTGTTTTTGTGGTCTTGCCTTATGTCTATCCGTTCTCCATCATGATACTGTGTTGTGCACATGAGTTTGGTATTGAGCGAAAAGGTCAAGGTCACACCTTTTGTGGTTGTGAATTAATTCTCATGTATTGGCTTGACTATATTTAAAGATGGATTTGAAAATGAAAATGCATAAATGTTTGGCACATTAAGTTTGTATGTTGTACTCTTAAACAAGTATTCAAAAGTCAAAGCCACATTTTTGAAAGGAAACTTTTCATTGAATTGTATTGATGTTCATGTCAAATCAACAATTCTTGATTTTGAAGGTGTAAATATCTATATGTAGGTGTAAGCCGTGTGATTTGTGGCACATTTAGAAGACTATAAAAGTCTTGTAGAAAGTTGAAAAAAGTTAATGGTAATACTTGGATGTCATAATAGTACATTAATGGTTGTGTCTAATCTCTCATTCATAGATGCTTCATGAAAAAATTGAGCATCACAAATATTCTTCTTGAATACTTTATAATAACCATTCATTTGTTGAAAATCAATGGTCATGTTCCTTTACAATTAAAAGGTCATAGATCAAGGTCAAATCCACACTATGAATCATTTTCCCCTAAGAAGGATTCTCTAACCTTAGCTCAATTGCTCACCTCTTAAAGGCAGTGTGTGGGACCCATATTGCTACTGTGTCCGCTCAAGGTCAAGGTCACACTTGAAGGTCATGTGACTAAATTTGTGTCTGCTTTATAATATTATCTGCTGGAAGTGCAAATATTTACCTAAGCAAGGCCATTTGCCATCTTTGTGCAGGCTTAAGATCAATATCACACCTGAAGTTCAAGTATCAGACAATTTGGGTCCAATCTAGTTTCTATACCACTTAAAGAATTTTTTTAAACTTGGCTCAGTTGTTCACACCAACAAAAGAACATGCAGCCACTGTACCAAAATTGAGTGTCAGTCTGAAGGTCAGATGTCAGATAAATATGTTCTTATAATTCCTAGACCCCTATTAGCTGTGCCTGCTTGAGGTCAAGGTCACCTTGATTGTCTAAAATCAGACAATTTTGTATCATTCCTCTTGAATGATGCTCTTGAAACTAGGCTCAAATGTTCAGCTTAGCAAAAAAGTGATTGCAGAACCTTTGTCCTAGTGTCAGCTTATGGTCAAAGTCCCACATGGAGGTAAAAATTAAGACAGTTTATGTCAGCTCTGTAGAGTTTATACTCCGTCTCCT